ACACTGCCGCAGTTGATGCCGCGATTGGCTAAATCACCAGAATGTGCCATGTGGTAGTAATGTGAATTGTTTAACAAAGCCTTTGACGGAATGCAACCAACATTAAGGCAAGTGCCACCCAATGTAGGATTTTTCTCAACACTAACGGTCTGCATATATAATACAATTAAATTTTATTACATATAGCCAATATAAATTAATTACGATATACATACTTTCAATCCTAATTGGGCAGCCTTGATGGCAGCGACATAACCACCTGGACCGGAACCAATAACAACCAAATCGGCTTCATGTGTACTCGAGTAAAAGCGACCATTTAAAGCTCCCAAAATAGCGCCATTTGTGCGCAAAGGCGTCTGCAAATGATAAGAATTATATGTAGGTAATTAAAAGTAACGTGATCACGAGGTCATCACTTAAGTGACATAGCCATCGGCTAGGCAGCAATTAAACCTCACAATCAAAATTTTATAATATATATAAAATATATAATGTACGTGTTCACGTTTTAATTGGCGCTTATCAGTAAGTAAAATACTAAATTTGCTTAATAAAATATGATAATAAAAAAAAATTCCTTTACTATTTACTTTATAAATTTAAATCAATCAGCTGTTATGATATTATTGCATTATATGTATATGCTCTTTTGTACGCCTGCGCCCGCAATTGTGCTTCTAATTTTTAATGCATTTTGTTGCAATCAATTATTTTTACATTTCTACACCAAAGGGAAATATTTAATGAAAATTACACCAAAAATACACTCGTTTATACAATGTTTTTATCTGTAGCTCTGCATAGTCAATGTCCATGAACCTTTTGAATAGGTTAATTCAGATGAATTGCATAACCACAAAAAAAATTCCACTAAACCCGTAAAAATCCCACGTTCACAATCACTTTTTCATGATTTTTTTTTTGATAATCTCACCTTAATGGCTGTTGCAATGGCATTACGGAGAGTACACTGCATTTTGAAAAGTATTTCGTTTTTTATTATCTTAACTAAATGGCTGAAATACCAATTTCTACTTCTACTCTCGAACAAGAAATTCCTCCGGTAACAGGCGAATAAATTGGCTACGAAATATTTAGCAGCGAAGTGACATAAAGAGCGAGATGTCAAACTACAAAGCAAATGTCAAACAAGAAATTGCAAAATTGTTTGCGTTGGCAATAATTTTAATTAAAATAATCAACGATATTAATAATAAATACCACTAATAAAATTTTGTTGTACATAATTTTTTCAATACAATTTATGCATGCAGTTTTGAAATATTTAAAATGTATTCAAATATAAATAAGTATTATTTATGGGTTTCTGCACATTCGTTAACTTTAGCCAATACAAAAACCTTTTGCTTCTCTTTCTATCTCTAACATTTTTTCATTACACTTTAATTTGTAATTTCTGCCAATTTTGTCCAGCTTTTGACAGCTTTAAATGTAGTCTGACATTCGCATTTGGTCAGTCTCAAGATGGCGATAAAATCGAAATCTTCAGTATATTTTTCGCAAATTTAAGTTTCGTTATTTATATTCAAAAACACGTAAAAAGTACATATAAATACGTAAATATTTGTTATTAAGTTGATTGGAACACAAATATAACACCAAAGGCGTAAAAAAGTGGCCTTGGAAGTTAATTCAGTGCAGCAAAATATACCGTCGCAGCAGAGCTGAATGCTCAAGTTGGCAAACGCTATGCAGACGAAGCAACACTAGCAGTACGGGGGAATCGTAACGGCAGACAATTTTTTAGTGCAAATAAGAACAAAATAATTTCTAGAGTCCTTGGTGTTAAAACACACAAAATAAGGTTTATTAAGTGAGTGGGGAGTGAAAAATACACATATTGGATGAATTTCTCTCACCTTTGTGTATAACACCGATGAAGTGGTAGCGCTAACTTCTATATAAAAGCCAGCATGATGAACAATTATAGTAACATGATGATTGGCGACCAATTTCGCAAAATGGAAAGTACAACATATTCCCCAAAGTCATCACCACATGGTGGCCGTTCACCTGTGGTATCAAGGCAGGATTCTTCGGGCACACTCAAGACTACAATATCACTTGGCAAAACGCCGACGATAATACAAACAGGACCTTTTTACTTATGGAAAGAACCACCAGGTAAATGCGATTGGCATATGCGCTGCTTGTAACAACGAAAATATTGTTTTTAGAATTTTAGTAACGAGAATGTTTGATTTTACTTGATTAGGCAAAGGCGAATTGACGGGTGATAAAGACTTAATGACAGAATATGGTTTGCATCACACACTAACTAAGTTTAAGGATAAAAAAGTAAAGGAATCGCTAGCATCGTTTCTACCCAACCTACCTGGCATTTACGATACCACAAGCAATCTGGTTAGTATTTAGATTTCCATAGAAAATACATTTTATGATATATAAAATATACCATGTAATAACATTGCAGGAAAACAGTACACTGCGTAGTGTTATTGAAAAACCGCCGATTGTGGGCAAGGAATTAGTGCCATTAACTGCCGTACAATTAGCCGGTTTCCGCCTGCATCCTGGACCTGTAAGTATTCTAAATACACACTAGATTTGAATTTGCAAATATTTGATATTGTGTTCTTTTTCTAGCTACCTGAACAGTATCGTGCGCTGAATACGACGCCTGCACGTAAACACAAAAATAAGCATAAAAAGCACAAACATAAAGACGGCGCTGTGCCACAAGAAACATCACTCATGGGTAAGAACTGCAACGCTATGTTATAATAATACACGTTTAACCGCCTACTTGCTTACAGATTCCGCTGGACTGGAGACCTACGAGCGTAAACATAAAAAACAAAAACGGCATGAAGATGATAAAGAGCGTAAGAAGCGAAAAAAGGAGAAAAAACGTAAAAAGAAAAGTCACAGTCCAGAGCCCTCAGCTGCAGGATCCGTGGCAGGTGGCAGTGGCGGCAGCGGCGGTGGTACAGGTGTTGGTGTAAGTGGTGGCAGTGTGGGTGGCGTTACAATGGGTGGCATACCGCCAATGGTTGGGAGTAGCGGTAATGCGGGTACAGTAGGTGGCGGTGTAAATGTTATGCCCGGCACAGTGGCAGCTATGCAACAGCCAGTACAACAACAACAAATGACACCAGCGCCGATGCTAAATGATATGGGCACGATATCACAGCAATTAATGCTGTAAGGATGTGACAAAATGCACTCGTGGTGCAAAAGTGAATGCAGCAACAAAAAGTAATGAAAATGTGAATCAAAAAGAAAGCAAAATACAAGCGTCGCGCTGAAACTTAATATTGCAAGATAAAACACAAACACACATTTTGTATCCTCACACAATTAGCAAACTAATATATAAACAACAACAAACTCAGCAAATGTTTATTTGACAAATTGCAATTTTCTTATGTAGATTTAGAAACTGTAATTTAATGCTTAGTTTAATATTAATTAAATTTTGTTATTCAATACACACTTTCCAATTCAAATAATTTATTCTAATCAAGAAAAAGTTGTGTATAAACAAACAGCTAGTAAATATTTTTTATTTAAAAAGTGTGACCGCATAATTAATTTAGTGTCGTAGTCGTTCAATGAGTAATATCTATGGATGTGTGATTAAGCAAGCGTTAATAATAAAATAATTACAATTTAATAATGATACCTTAAATTTATAATATAAATAAGGTTGGAATTTTGTGTTTTTTTTAATTAAAATACGACGACTTCCAAATACAAAAAATAAATAACAAATATATTGTTTAAAAGAACTATTGATGGCACATTAGTTTGTATTAAAAGTAAATTTAATTGCAATATCGCTTTAAATAAATTTTCATTTTTATTGTGATAATGATTGCAAAATTGCATATCCATGGATAATTTGGAAAGCAAGCCGCTGGTAATTTGTAAATTTAGAAGCATAATTAATCAAGCATTAAAACCACCATTGTGTCAAGAGCGCTGCACAGCAGCACTATTGGGCCAAAATTTACATACATACATATGAAATTGAAAAAGGATATACATACATATATAAATATTTACAAAACATTTTGATTAAAATTACCGTTAGTTTATTTTAATTTAGTTTAGTATAAAATGACGTTTTTCTTTTTAGGGTGTTTAATATAAAATAATACTTTAGCAATTAATATGAGCAAGTAAGAAGATAAAAAATACAAATGTATGAAAATAACATTAGTGGCGAAAAATTAAAATAAAAGTAAACAAATGAAGTTACAAAAAACGCTTGTTCAATACTTTGTCACCAATATGGATGCAAGTTCATATACAGATGTTATGGTGCTACCGGGCACAGGTAGTTTATTGAGTATTGCACGTGTCGAAAGGCGTCCGTTATTGGAAAACCTAGTGCTCATATGTGCGCGCAACATATTCAAAACGCTCTTATACAACCAGCAAATACTCTGATGATCGGCGATAAGTACGTGTTAGTTTCTTTTAAAATTATTATTCTTATTTGTTTAAACCATATAAACACACTTAGCTACCTGACGGATATGCCATTTGGCCACAATCTTGGTTTTCAAACACTGCTCGTTGGTACAGGTACGCATATGGACGTGGAGTGATGTGCTGCACTTGAAGAAATTAAACGATGATTTGGCAAAGCATTTTATGCCAGGGAAGATTTGAATTACTTCCTAACCCGCTAAAGTTTTGACTGCACAGTTCTTCATGAATAATCGCAAAATGTTAGTTTTCATCGATTAACGATTACATTTATTTATAGCCAATTTGCCAAATAATTTGTTTAGAGAAAAGTGATGGGAAGCGAAAATTTATGAATCACACAAAAACTCAATGTCATTGAATCCCAGAGAAGAGAGCGCTCTTAAGTTTTAGTGGAGTATGCTTCAATGTGAGCACTTACGATATACATATATTTAAAACAAAATTGTATGTACTTTTTGGAAAAAAATATACTATTAGTGAAAGTAATTTGTGTAATAAAAAGTTTCCCTTTCACTTTACTACATTTCAAAGCGTAATTAAATTTTCCGAAAAAAATAATCAATTGCAAACATTTCCACTGCTTTCGCTTCTCTTTTCTTTATATACCAGTGGCAAAGAATGAATAAATCAGCTGTTACACAAACAACAAATGCAGCGTGAAAAGTAGCAACAAAATACCATAAGTGTAATTTATTGCATTCTGCTGATTTTGCATTTCTTTGAATTATAAAAAAAAAGTTAGTACTCAATTTTTGTCTCTTTCTGCGCGTAAACAGTGAAATTTGATGAATGGAGCAAAGACAAGTGGAAAAGCTGAAAACGCAAACGTCAATGTCAAACAGATACCCGGACTATTGAAGAAACGTTTCCTTATCACAGATAGAGGGAGGTGCGCTGGATTCGTGGATGCGTAAGTTGTATTGTGAAATTCGAGAGCAGCTTAGAATTAGTAGCTAAATTCAAATAGCATTGCGTAAAACACAGCGGCAAACATCAAATGGAATATACCAAAAAAGTTTAGTTTTTTGGTGTCAAGACGAAAGTATCGCAGACGGAGCCATAATTGTTGAAAATCGATAAGTGATTTTGTCACAGCAACGCACGTGTTGGGGAGCCAGACACTGGGCTGACATTGTCACACATACATATGCACAGTGTATAAGTGGTTTTTGTGCAGCGCTTTATGGAACAGACGTGAGAGAGTCAATCACTGCTGATTGCCTAACTCACCAAAAATTTGGAAACCAGAACGCGCCACATTTGCCGTTGTGTTCTCTGTCAATTGCTATTGGTGCGTTCTGCTTCTTCAACGTGATCGTGAAAGGCAAAAGAGCAGAATAAAACGAAAATTTATACATTATTTTTTCTCAAATAAAAGCTAAAGTAAAGAACTTTTTTGCCTACCAATAGAAACTGTTTGCGTTGGATTTAGTGGTGGTAACGAAAGTGGTGCCAGTAGGAGCGGTAGTATTGGCAGTCAATAAAACAGTCAACACAGTGGATTCTACGCCTGTGGTTGTGTGCATTTAAAACTGTGGAGACGCAAAACATTAAAAATTGTAAGTCAGTTTAGCGACGCTTATATACTAGCAACACGGGTAACAAAGGCTATAGCGTACTTAGTAAAGACTATAAAAATATGTACAAACAAACTTGTACGAATCTGCTAGAGCAACCACCGGAAAAGGTCAGGGAATGGCTGAACGGTTTCGACGCTGTCATCACGGATTGCGATGGTAAGTGTAGAAAAATAAATAAAACTATATATGTACATATGATAAATAATGTATAGCGATGTGCAAAAAAGTTTGACCTTAAAGGTCACTTGGCTATGAATTTTACAATTGCAATGTGATAAGTGTTTTGTGAAGGCATATATGAATTTGCATTGGGTTCTAATAAACAATGAGACAACATTGCGTAATTCGTATTGGTAGCGGTATCTTAGACTCTTTTTATAATGTATGCTGCGGAAATTTTCGTGTGCGTTTTGTTGACGTTCAACCAATTTATTCATATACATATGTATATATACATACATACATACGTGAAATGTGTAGCGAAGCCAAATTTATGAACTGTGACACTGTGAATATGTGGTCAAGGTGTCGTCTATTGGGGCATTGACAATGTCACGGCTGCAAATTCTGTATGACAGTATACATACCCACATGTGTACCATATATTATGGTAAACTGGAACTAACAATAGTTTTGTGTGTGTATGTATTTGTCCATATAAAGTTTCAAGTCAGTGGCCATTTTATTATTATTTTACTAATTATGTTCCCACTTTCTCCCGCCTAGGTGTGCTATGGGTTTACAGCAATGTCATCGAAGGTGCTGTGGATGCCATGAATCGTTTTAAAACGATCGGTAAAAAGATATTCTTTTGTACCAATAACTCGACCAAAACACGACAACAATTGCTTGAGAAATCGCACAGCATGGGTTTCGACATCACAGCCGACGGCATGATCTCTTCAGCGCATTCAACTGCTGCATACCTGAAGGCGCGCAATTTCCAGAAGAAAGTATATGTGATAGGCGCCGGCGGTATAACGGGCGAACTGGATGCTGTGGGCATTAAGCATAGCGATGTGGGTCCCGATGTTATGACTAGCACATTGGCCGATTATCTGGCAACCAGCTTTAGCAAAGATCCGGAAATTGGCGCTGTGGTTGTGGGTTTCGATGAACATTTTAGTTTTTGTAAAATGATCAAAGCCGCTTCGTACTTGGACAATTCGGAGTGTTTATTCATTGCAACGAATACTGATGAACGCTTTCCGATGCCCGGCATGGTGATACCCGGTTCGGGTAGTTTTGTGCGCGCAGTACAAACATGCGCCGAACGTGAACCTTTTGTAATTGGCAAACCGAATCCAAGCATTTGTGAGTGGTTGATAAATGAGGGTACAATCGATCCGGCGCGTACGCTAATGATTGGAGATCGGTGAGTGTTGAATTTAGTGTTATGTGTATCGCATTTGCTAATAATACCATAATTCGCTTTTAGCTGCAACACCGATATACTGTTAGGCTACAATTGCGGTTTCCAAACGCTGCTTGTCGGCACCGGCATACACAAGTTGAACGATGTGGAGGCGTGGAAGAAATCCGATGATCCCGAACAGAAGAAACTAATACCCGATGTCTTTTTGCCCAAATTGGGCGATTTGCTGCCATTTATGTAGTGTTAGTTTTAGACAGTAAATATTGAATCAATTCTCACAACATCCGGTTCTACTTTAACGGAATTGATTTGATTTTTATCCGGCTAAGGGCTGTAAAATAAATATGAAATAATAACAAGCACTAAACGAAAGCAAAAACTTAAACAGAAGCAGAAACACACAACATTGCTACAAATATATATATATACATATATTATACTTTACTATTATTTGGTATTATAATTAGAAAATATTCTTTTCGTAATGACAACAATTTTAGCTAACATAAACTTATATGCTAACAATTTTTAATACATTTATATGTGTACAACAGCTTATTTTTTAATTATAGTTGTGTATTGATGTATTGTAATTTACATTGCTGTCCGACAATGTTCTTTTGTACAAATAGTGTTATGAAAGGTCGAGTGTGAAAAAAATGTGAATAAACCAAAAAGTTAAATAATAACATAACAGATTTGTAAAATAACAAATTGTTACAAAATAAATGAAAAAGGTAATATTTCATGTGATATGCGCTTATCACAAACCAGATCGAAAAGGGTTAAAGGGGCATCATGACTCCAGATTGATTATATTCCCCTATAAAAACCGTTGGAGCTTCAGAATCGTTTTAGACATAAAAGCCGTTGCAAGTTGTAAGTAACGTGAATTTTAGTAAGAAACAGTTATACGCAAATATGTATCAAGGAAGTTGTGTAAATTTGTTGGAGCAGCCTTTGGAGCAGGTGCGCCAATGGCTGGACAGTTTCGATACCATTATTAGTGATTGTGATGGTGAGTACAGCGTATTTTCAACGCTGCCATAAAATAAAAAACAAAACTATAATTTTAAAAATCTTACCCGCACTAGGTGTTATTTGGCTGGGCGACAATGTGATTGACGGCGCTGCGGCAACTATGCGCCAACTCAAACGTTTGGGCAAAGAAATTTATCTTTGCACGAATAATTCTACGCGCACGCGTCAACAGTTATACGAGAAAGCGCATAGCATGGGTTTCGACATTAGCGCCGAGCGTATTATATCCTCGTCCTACGCCACTGCCGCCTATCTGAAATCGCGTAACTTCCAGCGCAAAGTATACGTTATAGGCACGGCAGGCATAACAGACGAACTGAAGGCGGTGGGCATTAAGCACACTGAAGTGGGTCCTGATGTTATGACCGGCCGGCTGACTGCATACATACAGTCCGGTTTGCGTAAGGAAACGGACATTGGCGCTGTTGTAGTGGGTTTCGATGTGCACTTCAGTTTTTGTAAAATGATTAAGGCTTCAGTGTACCTGTCGGATCCGAAGTGTCTGTTCATCGCTACAAATATGGATGAACGCTTCCCAATAACTGGCATGGTTATACCCGATGCGGGCAGTATTGTGCGCACCGTGCAAACGTGCACGGCACGCGAACCGATTGTGATTGGCAAACCGAATCGGAGCATTTGTGAGTGGTTAATTAAGAATGGCAGCATTAAGCCAGCGCGTACGCTTATGATCGGCGATTGGTGAGTGGTTTTGTGTAGTATTGGAATTTTATACAAATTTCTAATTGTATACAATTTTTTTGTTGCAATTTTTAGTTGCGGCAGTGACATAGTGCTGGGCCATAATTGCGGTTTCAAGACGTTGCTTGTCGGCACTGGTGTCAATCAGTTGAGCGATGTGCATATTTGGCAGCAATCCGGTGATCCGGAACACAAAAAACTCATACCTGATGTTTATTTGCCGAAACTCTCTGATTTGTTGGCGCTTCTTTAAGCGCAATACGGTAGCAAAACATATTTTTATTATGAATATTATCCTCAAATACTATTATATGATGTAATTTATAGTTATTTTTTCATGCATTTATATTTTTGTATTATATGAAATTAAGAAGTGAATATTATTTTAAAATGTTCATCAGTAGAACACTATAAATATTTGTAAAAACATTTTTATGCGCTAGTTACAACGCATAATATATAATTTTTTGATATTTTGAGGTTATATATACCATAAGCTAAAAGCAGCTAGTTACATGACGTTAAATATTTAAGCGATTCATATTTTGCAAATTTTTTTGTATGCATATAAACAAAATTGTTTATTTTTGTTGTTGTTGAACAACGAACGAACGAAATAGGTCTTTGGAATGCGGCTGGCTTGACATTCCTAGACCAAAAACGTATAAATCGCATGAATAATATTTAGTTTTAATTTTTAAAATAATATGTATGTATGTAAGTATATATGTATGTATTTTCCAGAACCAAAAAATAAATAATATTGTAAACAAGTTCAAATATTGATTTTTAGGGCGGCAAATAACTTGAAAATGGTATCTATAAATATATTTTCTAACAAAACAAAATAGTAAATAATCTTCAAAAATATATTTTAGTAAAATATTTTGCAAAACAAAATCATTTATTTATTATAAAGCAAAATAATCGCTTTACATACATACTTGTGTATGTTTTTCCAAAAAATCTCCAATATATACATACATACGAGTATGTATGGAATATATGTAAGTTTGTATATTTAGCATATTTGTTATAGCTGATTGATTTGCACTATTATGTATTTATTAGGCAGAAATTCAATTTTAAACAAAAATATATATGTACTTGTATGTACGTATGTGTGGCTGTACAGGTGATTGCGACAAATACTTACTAAGCAATTAATCATTAGTAATAACAGTAAACAAAATAATCTCTTAAAAAAGATTAAGTTTTGAAATTGTTATTTTGAATTAGTACCCTTAGGAATATTCCCTTTTCTATTATAATAAAAACAAGCAGCAGGAGGTGTAGCATTAGGAAACTAATGGGCTGTTATCAATCACTTTATCGCAATAAAATTAATTGACGTGTAATATATTTATATACAATAAAAAAGACGTTAACTTCGATTGCACCGAAGTGAAAATACACTTCACAAATAGAAAAGTTTCTATACTTAAAAAATTTTTGATTTTGTATGTCAGCTATATGATATATTGGTCCTATATGGGCGGTTCCGACATATGAGCAGCTCCTTGGCAGCTCCTCCGATATATATAAAACGGGCAGACAAACGGACATGGCTAAAACGACTCAGTTCATCACGCTATTGATTTATATTATATATAGTATATTTTATAGGGTTTCCGTTCAGTGTATAATTACTTTTAAAAATCTGCTGATGTTTACTACGAAAGCAAATATTATATATTTATATATGTATGTATAATATATACAATACTGACTCATAATCGGCTATGTAAGTAAATATAAGTACGTGCTACGGCGAAAACTTGTTTATTCACATGTCGGCAGTTGCTTATCACAGAGACATGACGACAGTTTTGCATCAACTAGCGGCATCGTTTCGGAATAGTACGTAGTCTACGTTTATTTAGTTAAATATGGACCCCAAGGCATCGATTGTTATCGTGCTTAATGCTTTAATTTCCATCGCAATGCTTAAAATACATAGATATAAATGTTATTATTGTTGTAGCGGTTGTAGTTGAAAATATTTCCAAATAATTGTGAGAAGTGTTGTTGAATTCATAGTTCGCCGGTTACGTGAGTCCGACTGTCGTGAGAATGGTCTTGTAGCAATAATGGACATATATTTCTTTCAGAATTTTCCTGCAGAATAAATAGAGACCACTCAGAGAACAACAAACCCACACTAAACTTTGGAAAAATTAGACATTATTTGCGAAAAGTTAGATCACAATCTATCTCATACGTTAAGAATAGAAATTGCAATATACTACATATCTATACCTGTATGGGTTCTAAATATTGTTGGGGACTAAACACGATCTACGAGTATAAAGTTGCCTCGTGAAACGCGGGCAAGGCATTTTAGACATTGTAGAAGGCTAACCACGACCACAAATCTCCCTCCACGGCACAAGTAACAGCTGTCAAAAAGACCAACCCCGAAGAAAATAGTGTCTCATTGAAAATCACACGTCTAAAAAAACACCCGTTATAATAATGATATAAGAGAAGTTCAATACCTCTTCCAATTGTTGTCATATTTACTCACAATACTGTCTTCTTTACATAAAAAAATAATATGATCATATTTATCAGCGCCTCTCAACTGTTTCCAATCTCACACAGAACCTCTTGATTGTACTTTTCTTTACTTTATACAAACTAAGAAATAGAGAAGTATAGATTCAGCTTGTCTCTCAGCGATTAGTTATCATTTCTTCTGTAACTGCTGTGGATACTTTACGAACATTTGTGGCACGTAATTCAACGCTTGTGCTAGAGACCGTGTGGATTGTTAAAAGTAAAGCCGATAAAAAGTTCTTCGGTTCGTTAAAAATTATATAAAATAATTACCAAAATTACAAAATAGTAAAATATGAACAAAAATCAGCCTACGAATTTGGCAGAGCTAACAAAAGCCGAAATTGCTAAGTGGCTCAACGGCTTCGATACGGTGCTCACGGATTGTGATGGTGAGTGATGATGGAACAGTATTTTGTTTATTTTACCATTTGAATAGCGTATACAAAAATCGTGCGATAGTAAAAGTGCTGAGTGGTTTGTATTGAGCGACGAAGAAGTGCTGAGCAAGCGAGAGCTTTCTGTTTGCTTTAACTGCTCTTCACAATCGTTTGCTAGCTAAATTGCTGTGTCGCATTTGATTTTTAAACTTTCACTTGTAAAATATATACTCTAACTCACATAGGCGTACTGTGGCATGAAGGCGTCGCGATAGATCGTGTACCCGAAGCTGTAGCATTACTAAAATCGCTCGGCAAAGAAGTTTATTTTGTTACAAATAATGGTGTCAAGACGGGTCGTGAAATTTGGAAGACAGCTACGACGATCGGTTACGATATAGACGAATCTCGCATTATAGCGCCCATACAGGCAATTGCTGAGTATCTACAGGCGCGTAATTTTCGTAAGAAAGTCTATATAGTAGGCTCGGAAGCCATACGCAACGGCCTAGCTGCGGCAGGTATTGAAAGTTTCGGACCCGGTCCCGAAGTACTGCAGGGTACACTAAATGACTATCTTGCGCAGCATGTGGCCACACAAGAGACTGATGATGTGGGTGCAGTTATTGTAGGCTTTGATGAACATTTTACATTCGCAAAAATGTTGAAAGCCTCCAATTATATTTGCTCGAATTCGGAATGTCTCTTCTTGACCACCAATCTCGATACAGTGCATCGTTATCCCGAATTTCGTATACCTGGTACTGGTGCGCTTTTGGCCGCCTTGGAAACGTGTGTGGAACGTAAAGCTTTGCAGTTTGGCAAACCGAATGCGGAGATTTGTCAGCAATTGATCACGTCGGGGAAAGTGCTGCCAGAACGTACGCTCATGATCGGAGATGTGTAAGTAGAGACATAGGGAAGTGCATCATTAAGGAAAGTTTGATTTAAATACTCGTATATATATTCTTTAGTTGCAAGGTCGACGTCCTATTTGGTCACAACTGCGGTTTCCAGACTTTGCTTGTGGGCACAGGCCATAATAGTGTGTATGAATTAAACGAGGTGCTGCAGAATTCCAGCGAAAATCCAGAATTTATACCCGATTTCTACGTGCCTTCATTGGGTGATATAACAAAGCTTATTTAAGAAAACCGAGATGAATTTATTAAAAGCAGAATTATGTATAACCTTTTGTTTTGATCTGCGCCCGCAAGAGAAAGTGGTCTCGAAATTTTTCAGCGTCTGCTGAGAAGCATTTTCTATCAGTATTTATATTTCTCTTTCTTGATTTTGAATTATCCAGCTTATGAAAAATATATAATAAAGACTTTATTATTGTTGATAAGCCTTTTTACTTTTTTTTTCTACTTATTTAACACTCTTTCATAAAACTGTTTAATTATTTAAATAGCTATGCATCACCGAAACTACACCCTTTATACGCCATGTACTCTCATTTTCCTTTCGCACATTTAAATATTATATAATGACTGGAATTACTACCAAGCTTTCAAAACTTTTTCAATACATTTGCACACTACTGCGCCTACAACCTGTCTAACAGAGATCAAGAGATGCCCAACTCATCTGTCACTGGAAATGTGAGCACAATTGCTAAACGTCAAAACCTCCTGAACTCGGGCAACTGTCAAAGTTCAGGAGGTTTGACAATTTTAGGAAATTTACTGCTCTAGTCAGTAGTTCGTTCTATTCGTTACTTTTGACCCAGCCAACTGAACAGGGTGTATTCATTTTGCCACGAAATTTGTAATACCCAGAATGAAACGTCGGACTCCCTATAAAATATATAAATATACCATATTTGAATAAATGATCAGCGTGAAGAGCTAGATCCATTTAGCCATGTCCGTCTGTCACAAGTCACTCAGATTTTGAGATGTCAATCTGAAATTTTACACACGTGCTTTTCAACCCAAGAATTATACCTATAATGAGGCCTTTCCTGGCAATTTAGTAAGGCATTCAATGAAACGAGCGTAGTAATTAATTTTTTAGGAGTTTTTAATTCAGTTAGTTAGTTTTCGAGTTATTGACGCAGTTTTCGAAGGCCATTGAACGAGAGACTTTTACTACCGGAATTTTACTTTTGTGTAGTCGTTTATGTACTGACGTTACCTTGCCCAAGCTGTCCGATACGAGGCTGAGATCCTCTCCCTTGAGTTATAGCACATCAAAGATTTTTAACTAATTAAACCTGTTAAATTTACAAGCCTACTTCAAAACTAAGGAGCAACACTCGGTATTTTTACAACGTCTGTTGAGAAGTGACTGCTGTTTCCCTTACTCTTAGGTTTATGGATTTGGCTCCCAGCGGACTTATATAGATTGTTGGTTGAAGAAAAATTTGTGGTAGATACGTATCCACCACTGTCGCCAGTTTTGAAAAATATAGTTTCGACAGAAACGCATTTAAAGTTTGACATGCTAAGTCTAACTGGTCCAGGCGCTTTAAAACTACAGCGGATTATACTGCTTTTTTCACCGTTTTATCAATTGAATAATGCTTTTCGAACGCTAAGTGTACTTTCAGCCCAAAAAATAACCTATTTTCTGAAATTTCTAGACTGGTCTAACACCTTAAGGTAACTAGATGTCTTCTATGACTCGAAGAGCACTGATAAGTTTTAGCTGAGTAATTGTCGTTATTACCTGTTATAAATCTTCAGTTTGCAATTCTATGGCATTTTATATCTTGCTGATATATGTATGTAGTATAATAAAGACTCTCTCTATTTTTAGCTTAAATATTTTAATAAATAAAATTATAGTATTTAAATAAGAAAACTAGCATATTGTTCTATGTTGTTTATTTTATATTTTTATACTTTTTTTATTACATTTTTATGCGATTTTTTAATTAATTAAATATCCATGTACTTTTACAAATTAAAACTACATTACTTATGCTATATAAAGCTAGCTCAATTACTCTCTACAGCCGTTGGGCAGTTTTTCGATTTTTAGACTTAAATATTAAAATTTTGTTCCGCAAATTTTATGCGCAAAAACAATAAATTTATTATTATAATTTTTTTATTTATATAATTTGCATGTAATATCTCCCTTACACTCTCTATATCACATGCACTCTCACTCTCTTCTCCATTATTTGCAGTTAATTCCTTGAAGTACTACATTGCTTTCTAAACTGTTCACAATATATTGGACACAGCCCCACACAATGGCCAGCCGCTAGGTATTCGAATTTTTTAACAAATTAACGGTATTTTTTCTTTGTCTAATTAAAGCTAATATTTTCGTCATCACGCTTGAAAATTTAATTATTCATTACTAATTTTAAATTACTCATTTAATTACTACTTTAATTACATATCAGTTACGCTCTCACCCAGTTTACAAAGTCCTCTTTTTTAGTATCTAGTATTTTCCTTATTTTAGCAATTTAGTTAAGAAGAAAAAAGTTGCGCGCTGTTGAGCATAAACGTGGTAAGCAGTGACAGCTGCTGAAAGCTAATATGTTTTATGTCTGTCTAAATTTTTTTTCGTTTAGTTTCAAAACAATAATTTTATTTTTTTCTAATTTAAACGGCAGCATTTGTTTTATAAATTTTATCTCCAAAAATATGTTGATATTTTACTTAATTTACTAGCCAAATATTGTCACCAATAATTTGCCATATTTTTGTAAATTTTTTGTCGCCTTCAACGCCACCACATAGCCGTCCGTTTGATTTCTTCTCGGACTTCATCTAAATTGCTAAAAGGTAACATCAAGTGGCCGTCGGTGTATTCGCTAATATTCGTGAGCTGCGCGACAGATAGCCATACCAGTAGAAGACATTGATGAGCAAGAAGAGCATTGGGAAGACTATACGGGAGGCGCGATCTATTTTCGATACTGAGTTGTATTGTGGTACACGTTTGCCTTTACGACGTGCCTCTAATTCCTCGCGCCGGTAGAAAGACATGCGTCTTTTGCCGCTGCCGCGATGTGGTGTGGGCTCTATAGAAGACAAAGTGAAAATAGAAAGTTGAGAAATATTTTACTCGTATCTCAAACGAAGTCTAAGAAATAGAAGGAAGTTGAAAAAGTCGGTATGGTTATGGCTAAATGTGTGGGACGAGCTTGAATTCACTCATGTTGAAAAACGCTAATAAGTAGAATATAAAATACTTGTTAAGGTAAGAAATTAAAAGTCTTCAATTTAAAGTTTCTTGGAATAGATATATACATATATGTTGCTTTCGCGTATTTCATAGCGGGTTTCCTTTCGAACAATCAGCAACCTATAATAGTTTACTTCACTATCCGACTACGCCAATATCGAATTTGCTCTCGTGTAGACCCTGAAAACGGCTATTGTTAAAATTCAGCTGATTCGGACCCGACTTCTTTTATATATACAAGAAAAAGTCATTCGCCGGGTAGACATTTTGATAGGAGGCCTACTTTACAGACCTCCAGTATTTTCAGACGTGTTAAAGAAAGTGAAGCATCGATGTATCGAGCTAAAAGGAGACTATGCTGGGAAATAAATCGGCAGTTTTCTAATTGGATAACTCTCGTAATATTTGTCTACAATCCTCACATTATGAAATAAGGAAGAAAGATTCGTGATGCGCTTGAAGTATTGTACTTTTATAAGTAGCTTAAAAGAGTAGCTTTTAGCCTTCCTAATAAAAGCGACGTACTGAAAGTTCCATGGGGTAATACTAAGCATGTTGTAGAACACAATATATACAAGGACCTAGTTAAATGAATTTATGATATTTTTCAAAGATTCAGATGAAATACTTAAAATTTCTTCCTTACCTTCACCGGCTCGCAAATGGGCTTCTTCATCATCCTCATCCGACATATCGAAGCCAACGCGACCACGTTTCCGCCGACGAAAACACGACCAAGCGAAACAATTCAAATAGTAGCGACCACTACCAGTAGTGCTTTCACCCCTACCACCGCCACCCAGTATACGTCGCTTAGCGCCCGAGTTGCGACGTGCACGCGCACCAATGCCCACACCAATACCGCTGCTGCTGGCCGACGTCGAACCTTTACCGGTGCTATGTATGGGTATAGAACACATCGACAACGGTATCACCTCGTATAACTTTGACTCGGTGCTAACATTAAATTCGCTCTTCAATGTGCGTGCGTCCGCTTCTGATTCAGTATCCGAGTCCATTTCCTCAATGATAAAGTAGCATTCACCCGAACCATATTTCGTGAAATAATGAACGACAGCGAATTGTAGTATGGTGGCGAAAATAAAGGCGAACGAAAGAAAAACAAAGAAATCCAGTGCAGTCAAGTAGGGGACCTTCGGCAGATCGGTGCGCGCTTCCAAGCCGAGAAATGTCATTGTAAGCACCGTGGTAATGCCCAGTGAGACACGATCTGCGGTGGCCTCGCGATTCAACCAAAATGAGACCCAAGAAAGTACGACGAGTAGACAGCAGGGGCCATAGACTTGTATGAGGAAATTGCCCATGTGACGTTGGAGGTGGAAATTCACCATAAGCATTGAGTACTCAGCTGTGAAGAGATGTGCAGAGACAGAGAGAGAGAGAGTAGGATTCCGTTAAAAATTAACATAACTGTATTGTTGTGAGCTGCTAGTAATTTATCATATTGTTTACGAATAATCAATTGTTGCTGGCTTAAAGCTATTTACATTGTTGTTGGTGCAAATAAATCACTGCAGTGGTTCAATGCGTTTTGTATGAATTATTATCGCTAATACTTGGTCTAAATCATCTCGACGCATTCACTAGTTGACCTACATGACATATGAGCAATCATAAATTACATAAACCAAAAATGAGAAAACAAAAAAAAATCAACTGCAAATAAAATCACCCCAAAGCCAAAACAATAAAAATAAATTACTTACACGCCCGACTCGACTCGAAACGCACTGAACCCGGCGCATCCACACTAATACCACCAAAACCATCTACACCACCACCACCACTGGCGCCCCCCAAACCACCACGGCCCGCACCAACACCCACACCACCACTCCCACCTCCAAAGGCACCTTTGTCCAATTGCAATCCCGTACCACGTACATGCTGATTCTTCGCACCCGGTCCAGCAAATGTAGTCATCGATTTACTGCCATACTTTTGACTCTTACGATTCGGATTGTAATCGTTGCCTGCATTTTTGTTGTAATAATTATTGCTGTTTCTATTAGCATTGCCCGGTTTGTGGCTGTTGTGTGTGGCATCATGCGGTGCGGCTGCTTTGTAGATCACATCAGTGAGATTGCCCGCCGGACAATCGACCAAATCGAATTGTGACAACTTCATATCCTCGGCGATGGCAACAGCTGGGCGCTCGCGATTCCAGCGATATACAACGTCCGCTGTCGTATAGCCAACTGTAATGAGGAGCAGAAGAAGGTCGAGCGTTTTATTTGTTAAAATAAAGCGTTAGAAAATTTAATTATTTATGGGTGTCAACAAGTTTACCGTTAGCAAAGTAATAATGATGGTTTGATTGTACGTAGTGGTTGAGTAAGTTGAGTAAGCAATGAAATTTGAATGAATCGCAGTTGACAATTGAACTTTATTAGTTTACTCCGCTATGTACTTTCTTTCACATTCCAATTATAAAAGTTGGGTTCTTTTCACAAAAATCTAAACCCAAATTAGAAGTCGCTCATAATCTAGTTTTTAACATCAGAGCGATCCGATAAGCTTTTAGCCTCATCGCTCGATGACGCTACAATCTCAAGAAACTATAAAGTGATTAATTTTGTCAAAATATCAGCCGAAATGTACTCGTAGTTTTGTTTCGGCTTGTGGAAGCCGTCTTGTCCACCGATTTCATAAAATTGGAAGCAAAACCAATCACCAAACACCAAAGTCCAAGAAACGATTGAGACAGTGGATTTCACCTGACCAATCTGCTAGGAACAAAGCAAAGTTTGTCGTATTGACTGGAAAGGAAATGGCTACCGTTTTTTGAGATTCAGAAGATGTGAGATACATCGATTGGGCCTAGAAAAGAGCAAAACGGTCACGGGCCTCTAATATGCCGGATTATTGGATTGAATCAGCCAAATTGCAACAAAAAAACGGCCTTGCAAAAATCACACGCCAGGTTTCCAGACCATTATCCCTTCATGTAATAACTGGAGTAGCTATGTTCTGTTTTAAACCCCGAACAGAGTATTGGAAGTTTGACATGGGGTTTGTAATATCCAGAAGGAAATGGGGTAACGTTTTTTATCTGAGAAGATGTGACACACTCTAGCAAATGTTTGCTTACATTGCAAATCCAGGTGATCGCATTAATCCTCCTCTATTCATTCTTATACGCCCAAATCTCTGACGTTGCTTTAATACATTATTACCTTATATTACCGTCAACTCATGTAAGTATGTATGTTTTTGTTGCAATGTGTGTGTTATTGGCACAGTTAGATAATGTGTTTGCATGTTTACACAATTCAAGTGGCAGACAACACAAAATTGACTTTTTGAAGCAACTCAGTACGAACTGGTGAAGATGCTTACCACTAGCAACAATTCTTTCACAAAGCAAATGAGTTAAGAAGGAGTAGAAGAAGTAGGTGAAAGGGAGAATAACAATACATGAATATGCGTGTGCGTTAGGTTTTATGGTACATATACTTGTATGTATGGTGTGCTGTAATTATTTTGTAGTGTCTTCTGTGCTTTTCTCTACTGTCTCCATTTTTGCTTGCAACGTCGAAATGAGTAAGTTGTTACGAGAAAGAAGTTACAGCAAATGCCAATACAAGCAAACGACTAGACATCACTTTGTCATTGGAAATGACGGTGAGCAATATATGTTGACAATAAAGCGTGTATCGAATTTTGTTGCCGAGTTTTCGGGGGTGTACGGTATGTATATTGTATTTCTGATAAAGGGGGGTGTGCAAATGAGTTTTCTGAAAAGCTGACGTAACAGTTTATTACTGCAATTACAAAGAAAAAAAATAGCTTTTTCACTAAGTCACTACATGGGTACAAGTGTTTGGCTATTTTGTGAAGTTCAGTTTAAATAAAAAAATTTATTTTTTAACTTTTTCAAGCAAATGATAATTAATATGAGGATTTAAAATTTTTTTTTTGAGTATATGAAATGAGCGATTTTAATTTTTAAATTAACAATATGGGCGTGGTTTTCTTAGCTTATCATTTATGAATACACAAATTTTTGAAACAGCCTTTTTTATTGTTTTAACTAATTATATACTTTACTATAGAACCAACCTAGTACTTTTCAATATAGACATACAAGTAGTTTATTAGTTTATTGTGTGTGCAAAAATTTAATTTTTTTGCATTTATCTCATGCAAACTTTGATGATTTTGGCTCCAATTTTCCGACACTTCTAAGTCATATTTGAATTTTAGAGCAAGTGATTCATCGAAATTTGCATACGTACCGTATATATGTATGAATATGACAACAAATTCATAAACGACGCCCACAACTTCAATACGTCAGTTATCGGCGGTAATAACAGAAAGCAGACGCTTAGTAAATAAACACACACATATTTTGTTCTTATTTTTTTTGACGCCGGAAATATACAAAATATGGTAACACAAATCAATCGACAAAGCAATAAACAGTTAGTTGCAAATGAATCAAACACGTAACAGCAACTTAATTATTTTGTATTGTGGTTGCGTATACGCCATGACACCCCATGCTATGCAATTCAGTTATGCAAAGCTGTGTAATGTATGCATGCCGCAGACACACATACAAGCATAGAAGTAGTGTATATAGTTAGCGTATGGTTATAGAGGTATGGAAAAAGGGGCGCCTGAGCTCCTTGCGCTGGTTGCATACCAAGTAAGTGAGATATTTTTTCAAGAAAAATTTTAACAGCAGTAAATCAATGTGAATGATACATACTTATGTCTATGTTTATTAATAATAACCGTTACCGAATATATATTTTTTAGGCGTATATGGACATATGGAGTTCAGAAAAAGCTTTAACTGGAGAGTTACCAAGAACTTTTAACTTTTTATTCTACATACTTTTGTTATTCTACATCTACTTCGAGTTTTGCACATTTCAACAACAATTATCTTTGCTACCATTCGATGTGCTGCTTGCTGTTGCTACATCAATACTTGCCACTCATTATATACAGATGTGTGTATCTGTATAATAATGTAAGTGTGCATGTTGTTCTGTCAAATTGTGTCACATTGAGGTTTACTCTGCGGATATGTACGTATTAAAACACATACATATAGATTTGTTACAATGTTGTACGAAGTAATGTGTAAATTGTATTTTAATGATGTTACGTATACGTACGTCATGGAAATCAAAAGTGCACATTGAAATGGCAGAAATCGATTTTGGGCTACAAAATTTGTTTGAATTAGACAAATAATGATTGAAATTAAAACTTTTTAAACATTGTTTAATAGCAGACATAGATTGCATATATCAATAATTCGTAAGGACGCATGGCAAATGGCTACATTAGACTGATATAATATTTTAGTGCTATTAACATCGAAGTTTAAAGTTAGTATGGAAAGCAGTTAATTGAAAAATATTATTTTTAGTGCATGCTTGTCATATCTGGGAAAGCAGACGATATAATTGTGAAAGTTTCGTAACTGCTATATTTTTCTGCATATTCTGTATATACATGGTTTATCAAGCGATGGCCTGCCAGTTTTTTGTTCTGATCAAAATCGAATTTTTGCAGGCTGAAAACGAAAAATATTTTGGTTAAAATTAAACTTTACTAAAACACGCCGCCATTTTGTAAATTTTTGATTTTCTTTCAATCATAGTTCATTGTATGCAGAATATGTTCTAGTGGAGACATTTTTTTAATTTCATCCACGTAGGCCGAAATCACAGCGGTATTATTGAATACTTGAGCTTTGATTTATATTTCAAAAATAATTAATTTTCTCTTAAAAAATTTTACTATGTATTCTTGAAACATGTACTAATATATATAAAATCACTGATATAGTAACTTTTTCTTTTCAACTTCCAAAAATTGCCTTACTTAGGCTGTCAGATGAGGTAAATAAATGGTTGACGGTGGTCATCGAAAGAGAAGAGAGTACAACAAGCGAACTTTGATATCACGCCATGATTTCCTGCAAAATTATATAATTAAAAAAAATAGTTAATTCCACTTGCATTAATAGCGCCATCAAGCGGTGAGACTAATTAATTATTAGACTACACTTATAAATTGTTAATATTTTGGTCAGTTGTTTTGGAGAATTTCAATTCAATCTTTTCATGATATACCAAAATACAGCACTTTTTATTGAGTTTTGAATTTTAATGTTTTAAAAAGACTTCAGAATCCTTTAAACTCGGTTCCTTAGTTAGAAATAAAAAATGTGTATTTTTTCATCTCATTTTTTCCTTTTGTCCCACACACTTATATGCACACATAAAAAATTTCTTTGAACCGACTTAAACTCTCTACACAAAATGCAATCAATTAAAGCCTTGAATGCGCGCTTGAATGTCGGACAGGCAGGCAGACAAATTCATTAGAAAAGCCGCTGCACGCACCACGTTGCACACAAGCTTCTAAGCTCTGCGACCGCCAACAGCGCGCAACAAACAATAATGATTATGTACTTGGGGTGCAACAAGCAATGCCTTACACATATGCATGGCCTTATGCATGCATATACATGCATTTACAAATGTGTTATTGTGTGTGTGTGTTGTTGATTGTAAGCGTGCCTATTTTTGTGCGCCACAAACGAATGAGCGAATAAATGAACTACAAACGGCTAACAACAGCTTAACTTGTTTCCATAGTTGCGCTTTTACAAGCGTGCAGTTTTTTGATTTTCGTTTTCTTATTGCCCATTTGTGGCTATAAGGACATTCATAAGGACGAGTGCAAAGCAAAAAGAGCTATTTAAATCATTTTAATATCACAAATCGCAGCATGCCGGGCGAAAAGTCTGAGGCGTAAAAGCAGAAGCAAATAAAATAAACCGGCAGCAAAGTGGCGCAAAGCGATAAGCGTACAGGGTGCTCACATTCGGGTCTTACATGTTTGTATGTATATATGTGGGCAATTACATATGCGTGGTTATAGTGGGGATCTTTCTACAAACATGAATAAACGGTTGTGTTTGTATGTGTGAGGAAAGCATAAACATTTCGTTGAATTGCATTTATAATAAGATTGCACTAATACAAATATAATATGTGTGTAAAATATAACTATATATATATATATATATAAATATATAATAGAGTCGCATGCACGAAGACAGTTTGATGTGTGAATAAATTTTTCTATAAAGGCAGGTTCTTTTCAGCAAAAAATTTAGGCAATATATCATATTCTCAATTTGATATACTTAATCCACACGGTATTAAAATCTTCTTATTAGTCTATAACTTGTATATTCTGTAGTTTCAAGAGGAAATGCAAGTTCTACGTATGCCAAAGATAGTATTGTTGAATACATTGATAGCCCATCTGTGAATAAAACCGAATGTCTGTTTGTAGGGCGCCTTTATAAAAATATTGTTTAAGAGCCATCAAAACACTGTTTGAAATACGATATTCTGGCAGCTCTGTACCTAAATTGATGGCAATACTTTTTAGCGTTAATTATGCTAACCTAAATGCAATTTAACATTTTAAGAAACACAGGCACACTATTTAATCAAAAAGTCACTGTTCTATCAAACTTCCCTCAAGCATACATACACACAACATACTATATGCATTTGTTGCCCTTCCCTTCCTAAGCATATTTGCGACTTTGTGTCGTCAAGGTCAATAGGTAATAAAAATAATCGCAGACACATATTTAAACATGTTTGTAGTTAAAGCATAATATTCACAAGCACATAATATGCTTAGCTGCCTTAAGCATTGCTCAGCTGAAAAGATTACGCTCTATGAGTTTAAGAAGATTGAACAACATTTCATACTTTATATAAGGGTATAGCCATATCAGCCTAAATGCATACTCATATTTATTGTACAAGTTGTATAGCAGTGTGTTTGTCGCCTCAATTGCATTCATTTTGCAACTTGTGTGATTTGTTATACAACTTACATAGTTGCTTATAAGTTTTTGGCAGTTTTCATTTCACTTACATGAGCCAAACTTTAGTGGACACTTTTGTATATCCATAGGGAAGTCTTCCAAGTTCATTGGGCAGCCAGCTTTGATTGTTAGTCTGAAAGAAGGCAGAAAAAAGTGAATTTTATTGTGAAAGCAAAATGAGAGTAGAAGGGTGTTCATCAGGTTAATATTTTTTTTTAATTATAGAGTATATTTAACGTTAGTTGGCTTGCAATGCATATAGCTTTCACCACTCACCTGCTCGAATACAACACTCTGCCATTCTGATAAATGCGCACAAATTTATTCGGTGTCGTTATGGTATGCAGATAACTCTGTTTGCCATTATAGAAATATGTATCGGGTTTCCAGATGCGCGCCAACATCGAAACACTCAACGCCAATGTGTCCTGAGCGCCTTTGAAGGCTAAACGCTTATCCACCCATGATTGACGAAAATAACAGTCCATGGAATAAGTCTGCAAAGAAATGAAAAAAATATATATTAAAAATATTCACTTTGAGGGCAATAGAAATTTGCCACAGAGGATATTCACTTGCGAGGTGTTAAGCAATCAAATCAAAAGGCATCGCATTGATTAAATAACACAAATAGATTGAACGCGTGTAAATGGGTGGCTTTGTATGTGTTTATGTACATATTAGTAGAGCCAGTCGCTTGTGGTTGCTCAATCAACAAATACTAAATTGAAATAAGTCAGTCAAAAGCATAACGGTTTGTCGCTTAATCGCTTGCTGCAGCTCCCACTCACCATTTGTTGCTGTTTTTACTGAGTGACTTTAATTGGTATTGACTTGTTTGGCTGCAAATAAATAGATTTCTTGAGCTTTTTGCCTTCGCGAAAAGCAATTATTATAGAAAAAGTGTTTACGCGGGAGTTTAATGTAAGTGTGGTGGGTTTTTTTAACGACTAAGTTGCTGTGGCATTACTATAAAGTAAATACAAAGTGAATTTTTATATTTAATTAAACAAATTAAAAATAATCATAGTGAAAGATGTCTGTTTATGATTAATCTGCATTGCTCACATGCATTGCCTTACCATATCCACTTCAGAGATGGGTCCCATACTCCGCACCATAATGTCAACTTCGACTGTGGCGGGTGGACCTGAAAACGCAGTAAATTATTAATTTCTTTTTAGTTTTTTATGTAAATGTACTAACTATATTAAGACGATGAGTTAAAGCAGAATTATGTATTAAAAGTATATGTAGCTGTAAGTAAAATTATTATACCTGTACCTAACATTATACTCATTAAATAATTATGCGAATTCTCTTGTGGACAGTTAACAAATTGATTCTCTGCGATGCCAAAAACTCTTATATATGGACTAAGATATCCTTATAATAGGTCTAGTAAAAATAAATTTATAATTTTTTCAATACATGACCTTGAATCTAGCTTTGTATAAATGCGATCGGAATGGCGTTTAAAGGGTACCGTTGCGGCAATTCTGAACTTCGTCGAGTGTTCATATTGTTTAGCGAATACGGACGACAGTTTGTATGAGAGTGACATTATGGAATTACCTTCAAAATGGCAAGAATTTGAGCTAAACCGGTGATTCCAACTATACCAAATACAACTTTTAATTTAATAATAAATAATTGGTAGTCTTGGAGATGAATAACCGCAAAAAATTAAAAAGAACATTTTACTAAATAGAGGACTTTGTTAATATTACTTAGTCTTGCCATAAATTCTGTTACAAAATTTACAATGTCAAATTATGTCAAAGGAAATGGATATATCAACATGAAAGCCTACCGTCGGTCAACTGGTTATCTTTTGAAGCAAATTACGCTGAACAGATGTAAGCGTGGAATTCAGTGGCACGCGGTCAACAGATGTGAGATATCCTTTTGCAGATGAACAAATTTTCACTGTTGAAAAAGTTTTTAATAAGCAAGCCGACAAAATTTACACAAAACCTTCCTAAGACACACAAAAATGTTATTCCAACGTGGTCACCATCCATCTGCTGTAATGGTTTGGTGCAGAGTCTTAATTAATAATTTGTTATATATACTCGGATTATTACGATTATATTTTTCTTAAGCCGCTGAGTTATTCAACTGCTCTTGTTGTGCTTTTCTGTTGTCAAAGAAACTTCGGTCAAAGTAAATTTGCAAACACAAGCTTATTTGACACAAGCTGAAATTAAAATTTTTTACTTTACTTTGGCTCTAACTGCTTTTGGATAATGTTTTTTTTTTTGTTTTGGTTTATATGTATAAAAAAGCAACTAAATTTTATTTCCTCTAATTAGTAGCAAAAACTGAAATTTCAAACGAAAATTGCAAATTGACAGCTTCCTGCAACATTTTGTTGCCGCTTTCATGGCAAGCATTTTGGCTGTTGAACAATTTCCGCGCTTTAACACCTTGAGTACACAACAGAAGCTGTCAAATTTCCCACAACAGGAAGACCAAATGATTGCCTGATCGCGGGTTCAACTGGAGACGCCATACATAAAGGCAAATACTCTTTCATACACAGCTTGTCATCCTAATAGCATCTTATTATACATTCACACTTCAGAATTACGCGTATCAACGCATACGTCTGCTTAGTTGCAACCCTCTTACGCGTTAAGCGTTAATGCCGCAAAATTGACTTGCCTGGCTTCCTTGCAACGCCTGTTTGCCACATGCTTTCCACTAATTTGTATGCCACCATTTGAAGTATAACATCGTGCTGCATATGATTGCTTTTGTAGATATTTTCATAAATGTCAGTTTTCGAAATTGTCGGAGATGTGTCGTTTTAGCGCTTTAGCTTTTCGAAAATTTATGCGTAACGCTTAAGCGGATGTGGCGCCGCAGCACAATGAAGCGGACACTCTAACGAGTGGAGGCCGAAAAGTCTCCAATTACCATTCAGAGCGATTGTGGGTATTTAGCGGCTTAAGTAGATATATAAACTCAAAATTTTCACACTACAATTTCAGTAGCGTATGGAGGTCTTTGTGGTGTCTTCTTCTTCCTAGGGCAGCACGCTGTTGACAAATTACACGCCAATTACTTGAGTGTTAGTCTAACTGAACGCCTGCATTTAGCGCCAATACCGTCTATTTAATCAGCAGCGCGGTTCATTTTTGATTAAGTTGTTCTTAACAAGGTCATAGCTTTATTTACTTTCATATTTCCAGCGCTTTTAAGCATATTAGAAGTAGAATACGAAAATAGTCATTTGTCGCAGCACTTTATTTGATTAACTTGAAAGCAGCGTCGCTTCCCGTTTATTTATTTATAGAATAAATTACATAAGTATATTTGGATAGTAAAAATGATCTTTTTTTTATAAAACGATTGAATCGTCATTGCGAAATAAGACAACAAAAGAATAAACAAATTAATGGAAGAGCTAAAATATGTTTGCGATTATGTAGTAGTTTAGTAGACTCAACCCGCTTTGATACAATTTTCTGAATACTAAGGACTTTCTTCTTTTTCTTTCTCATCTGCTCTTCTGTATAAGCTGTGCCCTTCTATACCTTTTTCATCTACAAAGGAAGCTAATATCTTCTAAAGGATCGAAAGGAACAAAATTAATCGTCTCTGAGACCTACTCCAAAGTACTTTTATTCTTGACAAAAATTTTCTATATTTTTAACGTCTTACCAGTCTTGTGATATTTATTAACTATAGTTCAGGATTTTTATATGGTATACTAATTCAAAGTAGGAACAAATTTTTTATATTATACGTGGACTTAAATTTATACCACAGTGCTTGCTTGAAACATAAAATACGAGCAATGTGGATGGAAGAACTATGTCGAAATTCCAAAATTTCTTATGGGAACCGTCAAGAGCCGCTTTTACAACTCTTTAGTTAGCTTACGATTCCACACTGAATCCTTTAGTTTTTATTCAGAAGGACTGTGTTGTTGTTTTAGCGCCAGAAAACATTCCTCAAGTAGTTTTGTGGAACTTTGCGGATTTGGCGGTCCTTGAACGCATTAAAATACTGGTCCGTTCTAGTTACTTTTGCAGGAACCTCAACAGAATCAGCTAAAAAGCTAAAATTCGTTGAGTTCGAACCTCTTCAATACTAAGATCTGAAAGTACTGTCTCAAACCCAAGAAGTTTACTAAGAAAACATATCCCCTATTAAATATAAAATGTATTTTATATTGACAAAAGGAAGATGAGATGATAATAAGTACAAACAATTGAGAATAAAAAAAATCGTATTTTCTATTTACGAGAGAGTGATTTGCATAATAATGACTGAAGAGTCCGATCAGTAATAAAAAACTACAAATGGTTTAATTTCGATCATTTATAGCCGTATAAATTGTATTTACAGATTTACAAATGTAACATATTACCCACTTACCACCGAAACCCGGTCGTATGCTATTATCATAGCCACGTAATAAATTATCCAACAGTTCGGAGATATTCGCATGATTATTGCGCTGTGTCAGACGCATATGAGAGGCAGCCACCGACCAGGAGGCTGGAGCGCGTGCACCCAAACCGGATAAAGCTGCTGCTGCCACAGCAGCCATGCCAACGTCCAGCTTAGCAGTGGGCATCGTCACGCCAGCAACGGTTGTTGAGTTTGTGGCAGACAATGACACCGAAAGCGAGATGGTGGAGGCGTGCGCAAGTATGCTGGACGTTGGAGATGTTGACATTGGAGACCAATTAACGTGGATGTGATGTTGCATGGCCGGCATGAGAAGGCAGCTAATCAAAAGTTTTAATAAGCGACGCATAAGGCTACTTAAAAGGCCAATTGTGCTGTGATGGCCACGGGTGGACGTAGCGGAAGGCATGCTGGGTATAGTGGGCGTCGAATGCATTTTGCTGTTGCTGTAACAGCAACAATGCACAATAGTTTTATTGTTATTGTTTTATTTTGTTTATTTTTTTTAGTTTTTAATAGATTTTTGTTTTTGGAGTGTTGAGGGCAGTTATGTTGGTTAAATGTCCGCGCGACGCAAAGCTGTCAACTGCAAGCTGCGCCCGTGTTTTGTAAGCTGCGCACACACACACAGCGCGTTTATCATTTAACACTTTTCTAATTTATTTTTGGTTTTTTTTCTTATTTATTGTTTAAATTAAGTTAAAGTATTTTTTTTTGTTTTGGTTGGACTTGCGCTTGGTTTGCTTCAATTTCCAATTCAATTTGGAAATTTTCCTAAAGTCACGTTTCGTTAATATTTTGATTGGAGCGAGTTGAATTAGTTCCTAAATTAGATATTTTTTATGAATATTCAAAAGAAATTTAAGTCAAAAAACTGGGAAAATGTGCAACGGATTTTATAAGATATATTTTATGCTATATAAATTCAAGTGCCATATATAAAATATTAAGGGGCACACCTAGTGGGATAGCCTTAAACATCGTCGATTTTTGGGAATTAAAAAAAACTGCTGTATCTATTCTTTTGAAATTTTGAGGATTAAATGGCTGTAACTCACAAGCTATTTGCGATATCGATGTGAAATTTTAGTATGTTTTCAAAGGTATAAACTATCGAAATTTTAAAAAATATATTTTAAGTAATCAATGCTAAAGTATGCAAGAGCAGTAGCTTATACACAACTTTTCAGTGATTTTCGAAATTATTAATTTACTCATACCAATCGCAAGTTGTAGCGCCTACAAGTATGCAACAAGTTTTAAAAATTTCCCTAATTGTCTTCTGTTTTATACTAAAAAACTTTCCAATAGCTATCGTACTACGTTTTGAGGCAATTTTTTGTAAAAATACTATATTTATCGAATATGTATTCAAAATAGAAGGTTTTACACCTGTCGTTTCCCATGTCTGACTCCAAATTTCATAACTCTCATTAGCAACTTTTCAAGTGGCTCTCCAATAACAAAAAAAATATACTTTCTCCTTCACTTTATTTCTTCACCTCAATTATGTGAAAAATCACGCGCCGTAAGTTAATTAAACAAAAATTAATAACTTACTCAAAAATACTTAGATTTATGCGCTTTTATTTGCGTGGCACGATTTTGCACTACGCGCTGAAAAGTATGCTTAGCTTGAAAGCGAAAATTTGTTTGCAAACAAAAGGCGAGCAAAGAATACGCCAAACTGCAAGTAAAGCAAAAAATTAAAAAGAGTCAAGCTAATAGCAAGTAGACAGGAACCTAGTAGAATGTAGGAGTCCAAGCAAAGAGGAAGCAGAAGCTATGATGATGATGATGAGAAATTATCATACATACATATATGCATATATACGTCTGTGGCATATTATAAGTAGATTATTATTAGAAAAAGTGCATAGCTCATCAATTATGCAAAAATTAGAATTTAGTAAGTGCACAGAGAGAGAGGAAGAAAGTAAAGATGAGCAGCCTATATAACTATACGCAAATATATATGATTAAATATATATTTATATACATATATAATACAATAGGAGTAAGTATATATTGAATCTTAACCAATCTGATGCTGCTATCCAATAAGGTTGCTTACCCACTAACCTCATTTTAAAATATTAAATATTTTAGCAAAGGATTTTTTATTTCTCTGATCGTGATAGAGTATTAAACTAACTCGGCTATCGTCAACTCGTAATCTTCATTGATTTTGCTCTTGCTTGTGAAACTGCACTTCGATAACAGCCTTCGTCATCAGCTAAAATTTGTTGTATCATATATCTTGTGTAATTTTCCCCGACACATACTCTCAAAGTGACGTGCAGTTTTCTAAAATAAATGTAAAATAATTAAACATGCAGATAGAGCTGATTGCATAGCCTTTTGATCAATTTTTTACTGTCTTCAAAGTAAAGAAGGCCTCTGCGTTCCTTAGTTCGAAATTTTAATATTGGAAGAGTTAATTAGAGAAATATATATCAAACTGCATGATCATATCCAATGATATCCTTTACTCTCTAATGTACGTCACGTTCGATTCACCATTTATTTGCTCGCTTAGTTTGAGTTCCACTACTTTGTCAAAAAATGTACGTGTATAAATAATATCAAAGTTTCTGTATATTTCATTGAAGTGTTATATTCGCTTTGCAAACCAATGTATTTTATACCAGTTGTGTGTTCGATTTGATACCCTCAAAGGGTTGGTGAAGAAATCATTATTTTACTTACATATTTTTTGTGATTGGTTATCACGTTTTTCTTTAGCAATATGTAAGTCTAAAAGATGTTATGCATGGATAGACTTGATTTGGCTAGCACCTACTTTCAACCATACTCGTAATAGCCGAAAAATTTTGTCAATATTAAAGAAGGTTTTTAGCGTCTTATTCAGACTTATATATGTTGGTTTGGCGAATATTGAGAACTGTAATCATATAATAAGCCTTCATTTAACATATCCATGAAACGTCTCGAGTCCATCACATATTAGGTAAGGGGACCAACTTAGTTAGGCGGTATAACACAGTTCACTTAGTTGGTTTATGGAGACAGAGCCATGAGCGATTTTTCACATAACTGCAACAGTGTTAATCATGGCCTTACCACTTATATAAAATCAATTTTCCCAATATGCAACATCCTCTACTCAACTATGCGTTTGCAGATGTCTGTTGACTGCAATTTACCAAACCTAAACAATTTTTCGAAATACATATACACACATACATATGACATGTGCGATTATGTTAATGATGTTGTTACTCGTACGCTTACACTTGTGTTAAAAATCAACTTGAACACGTTCAGCAAAATTTATTCTCAACCCTTAAAAATCGATGTGTGTATTTTTGCCTTCAGCTAAAACGCATATATAGCATAATTTTCCAAAGCTTGCACTATCTCTAATGTTAGTTTTTTTTAATTTTTGTGGGCTCGTAAGCTTGTATACTCATGCAAAAATATTCTTAAAAGTATTCGTAGTAGATTATCAGACGCTCATTGCTAAGTTGGTCTACTGAACTTGGCCTACTTACTAAAGTATTGTTTTTGCTGAGCTGATGAATTGATTGATTTATTGAGAGAGAAAGGGTTGATGTTAGAGGTGTACATACCTATACCTTAAGCAAGTATAGTAAACCACAAATTAATTAATATACCAGTGATTTTGGAATTAACAATTTTCTTGTGAAAGACTGGCATTACAAGCGGCTGTAAACCGCGCTAATTAAACCACCAATCGGTTTATAAATAATTTTTGTGAGTCTCAGCATTGTAGTACTCAAAAACTTGCCGAGTTTTATATAAGCTTTAAGTTTCTTTCACTTCAACAGCCTTAACTCATTTTGAAATCTGTGGAAGATATTTTTCTCAATCGGCTGAAAACTGAATATTCGCAGAGTCATGTAGTCATCCTCAGCTCTTGCTTCGCATACTGTCGCTTCTAGTTCTTAATTTGTAAAAATGAAATTTCAGCATTTGGCTGAGCTGAATGGTTTAGCGATTTGTGGGATCTTTTGAGTGTGAGTATAATATCGTGATCACATTTTAAAACAAAGGCACGCATAGAAATATCGTTTCTGCCTTTTGAGTTTTAACTTGCGATTTTTGAATTTTTGTTTTCTTAATTTCCAAACATCGAACTAGTTTTTTTGGGCCAACATTCAATGCCCAAAAGAGACATACAATTTACATAACTTCTAAAGAGACAAGAAACCTAATTAAATTCCTATTCATGTTTACTAACCTTACGACATCATTACCAAGTCTCTTATTTTATTCTCAATAGCCCAGTTTGTCACTCATCACTTATTCAATTTAGTCACAATAAGACCCTAGTTGAAATACAAACTGCTTAAATGACTCATTTCGGCTGAGCAATACGCTTTACGCAACAGCGCCACAAACAGATAATTCATGGTCAAGAGCTTGCTTAGATTTCTTTTTTGCATAACGAACAAACCTTAAGTTTATGCGCGACAGAAGAGCGGAAGAGACGGCGTTAGGCGGAAAAGAGTTATGCAGCATTGATGAGATTTGATCAACAAATTCACGACCAAAGCAAACGAGCAGTAGAAATGCACCCGCACATTTATTGCCACTACTCACATACATACGTCACATACAAGCGGCAGAAAGCGCACTAAGCGAATTCCCAGCTGATGATGGTCATGTCAGTTGTCACAACGGGCAGCAAATACACACTTCTTCTACAAAGCAGCGACAGTGTCTGCGTCGCCTTGCAATATACATAATCATAATTATGCAATACTGAAGCAACAACAAATACAATGCTATGGAAATTCGATGCGTCAAAGTTGCAGCAACAAAAAAAACACACTAAGCGTGAATACTTAGCAGTTGAAGAAGCAGTAGTATAAGTGCCCAGCCTGTAAACATTTCTAATGGTCGCTGCCAGGGGTGTAGTCTCAAGCTTCAAGCTGCAAATGCTTAACCCTCATTCACTCAACAATTCAATTGACCATCACCACAAATCCCCTGATATAGAGGCTTTTCACAATATGAGGTGTCCAATGTGGGTTTAAAATTGTGTGTTTGCTGGTGTGTTGTTGTATTGATGCAGATAATTTAATATTGAAAATTTCATTTAACTTCCATATGTTCGAAAAATGATAGTAATAGTAATGATAATGAAGCTGGTAATAACAATTATGCCTTTCCATCAGTTTTGTTGAGGCTGCTGCTACGGCGTTTCGGTTTGTAGCTGGAGGCGGTTGTAGAGTGTCTCGGTGCCATGTGATTCAATTTAATTCGATTAAGTGCATTCGATAGCAATGTAAAGCGAATTTTGAAAGGTCTGCTTACTATGACTACCTTGGAGATTGGTACGAGGCTAGGCTAAGTGTGGAATAGGGTTCTGGTCTTCTATTATGGAAAGTTTTTTTAGTGGCGATAGTGACAAAAATCATGAATGGACTTGCCACATACTCTGAGATCTCAGCGTAATCGTATCGAATACTTAGAAAATAAATTAAAGTCACGCGAAAATGGTTTGCAATTTAGATTTGATCGAAGAACGCATGGAATAATAAAATTTGCTCGCACAAAAATAACTTAAATCGATGGATTGCAGGCTGCTTGACATTTCAGTAATATTTTCAAATAAGAATCTAACGGAGCCGTGGGTGTTGCGGCCATAAACCTTTGACTCTACCCTTGCTACTATTTTAGAGATACAACGCAGTTGACTTCTATGGTGCAGAAAGCTACAGAAATGGAAGGAGCAGATATTTCAATCTAACCTATATGACCTCCCTTGTACAATACATTTTAGCAGCGCATTTCAGACTTGTCGACCAACTACTTTGTTCTCTCTATAATATCTAAGACTACAAACTCTTTCACAATTCAACCACACTCAATCATTTAAAAGACGCCTACAGCCCACTAACTGGTCAGCCGAACTTTTGATTGAATACCGAGTTTTTGCTTTTGGTTTGAAGAAATGTACACTGCTTTGGATGGAAACAAATCTCATTCAAAGAAAAGCGAACTGAACCGCTTACTTGCCCGAAAGCTCGCATAGTACGGGTATATGCCGTTAGTTATTGCGTGGCTCGAAACAAAGAACAACCCAAAAATTTAAGTAGGCTTTGTTGCAGCATTGTTGCTTGAAAGGAGTACTCATAAATATACCTGCACACATCTCAGCTATCGAATAGTCGTTTTATGCTTTCTACCCACAGAGTGTGTAAAATACTCTGAACGGTAATTTCAAGGTTGAAAATTTGACAGCACTTATATGGGTGAATAGTAAGCTGTCAGCGAAGTAACAGTTCTAATTATGACAAGATTGAGACATTTACAACAAAGTCAGTTAAATATCTTCTTTTCTTCCATATATAATATGGATATTACCGTCTTTGACAGAGTGGATGGACTACTCGCACGAGTCAAATTTCGATGACGATGGCTCCACAGAACCCTAGACTCGCCAAAATACTTCTACAACATTTTCAACAATTCCGTAGCCGTGATTCCAATCCGAATCAAATTTGTTGAGATAGTAATGCGAGTTCTCAAAAACGTAAAAAAAAAAAGTTCTAGTTTAAGCTCCTTTGTTTTCAAATTCTAGGTGGTATATGAGTGTTTGGAATGATCGTTAGACAGAGTCGCATTTACATTGAAAATTTATTTTAACGTTTAAAGATTACTTTGAATTTATATTATGGTCTTTTGCTGTCTGTGGTGCCGAAATTTCTCACACCACAAACATTAAGCGTTAACTGCGCCATGCTGGCAATATTGTTTGCAAAAGTAAAATAAAAGCTTCTGGAAGGGTTAAACAGGCATTCAAATATTGGGAAATTGGTAGAAGAAGAAAATTGCACAGAGTATACCAGCAAAAATTAAAAATAAAACAAATAAAATGTAAAAAAAAAATGCGAAGAAAAAACAAATAAAAGTGCGGTCACTTCGCATAAATTCGACGCATTTCGAAACCGTTCAACATTCTGTAGTGTTTAACAAAGAAAGGCATTCAAAAATATGCTAACCTGTAAATGCAGTGCTAGCGAAATGTAATTGCTGGTGCCGCAGAACTGAAGCAACTTCGGTGCCCAATAACTGAACTAAAAGCACCTTTGTAAAGCTTTTGTCTAAATACAATAAATAAAATCTTGATAAAGCGGCGTAAAATTTGGTGAAGATTTGGAACACAATAAAAAAAACTAAAATAAAAACAAAAAATTTTAAAAGAATAAATATAACAATAGCAATTAATAAAAATGTAAAGCCTCCGAAGCAGCCGGCAGACAACCCTTTGTGACATTGCTTTTATTTTTGCTGTGCTTCAGCGCAGTGATATCAAAGTGGTCGCCGATATGCTTACATTAATTGTCTGACATCACTCATACCACCTGTCGTCCTCGCTGCACAAGTGTTTAGTTCGTCTTTACATATAAACAGACACACATACTCGGATTTAATGTCAACTCGTGCGTTAATTTTTCTGCTGATTCTGTTAAATTTAAAGAAAACGCCTGTTTATTGTTGGTTTTTTCGCCAAAGGTCCAGGTCCGCCTGCTTTGCTCCGTGGAAATTATTGTATAAGTTGAGTACACGCACTGCTGCACAGCCATTCAATGGCGAGCAAAGCCGCAAAAGTTTAATGAAAGTTAATGAATGCGGTTGCCATTTAAATTGACTTCTTCGCTATAGTGTTGTTGTAAAAAAGAAATAATAATTCTTTACAGACACCATACACATGTTGGATGTGGATTTTAAAATCACACGAAAATATCGAAATGTAATTTACGCATAATTTCAATTGGCTTCGGTGTGTGCTGCAAAGGTAATTACCGATTTGTATGTATATGATATTTAAGCTGTACTATTGGGGTGTTAATATTCTCTTAAAGCGTATTTTATTTCAATTTCATTTCAATTGCTGAAATTTATATTTTTTTGAATAAATTTTCTATGCAAATAGCTTTGGTTAGCCGCAGTAAACAGCTATGTTATTTTGCCACATATGTTTTAAAGTTTTTATATAGAAGTTTTAGCAGCTGTTTATTATTCAGCACCTAATTGCAGTGGTTGATGCCATTAACAGCTTTTAGTTAGTTAAATTATACATTCTGGTAAGCTGTCGTTAATTTTGAAAAATTGGCTTGAATATATTTTTTATGACGGTAATTTTTTAAATTTATGAATAAAAACGATGATATAATAACAAATAAATATATACATATGTACAAAAAATTGAAAATGGGCAACACACTGTAGCCTATATGGATTTGATATTTTCTAAATACTTGCACTGTTTTATAATATCGTTGGTCAAATTATTCCGTCAACAATTTTAAGAATAAAATAACTTTTTTATTCCATCTGGCTATTAAGAAAGCTTTTTTTTATCAATGTGTTCTTTAGACTATAGGCTTTAGAAATTGTTTTATATGTTTAAGTCCTCAATATGATCTCGAACTATGTGAACTATATTTATACAGTCTCCGAGAGAAATTCCACTTTTAAAGGGAAATACAGTGCCGAAATTTCGAATCAGCAATCCGTTGCCTGTAAATAGGTACTCTACGTTTTTGATATAAGCTTGGAGTCAAGTAAAAACGGTTAAACATCACTGTCCAAGATCTGAAGATATCTGATGATAAAGCAATGAATGCAAATAATTATCAACAAAACTCGAGAGAAGTGAATTTGGAGCAGCTGTTGTGACTCTGGAAAGCTTCTGTATTACTTTAAAAGGCTGAGTGAGAGCTTCATATCTTTGAGGCCATTTATGATGCCATTAATTCAACAAAAAAAAAATGATAATAATTTTTTTCATATTTCGAAGTTCTATATACTTAAATTTTAAATCCATATTTTAAATAGTTTTTGAGCTACAGTCTTCTACAGTGTAGCTGCCCAGTTCGCGTTTTTCTTAAATATATGTTTTCCATATTTTCTTGAGAGATCAGTCAGCGATCAAAAATCGAATTTTGGCAGACCCTTGTGCAAACAATATCTTGTAGTAAATTATATTTTTTGGGTTTCATACGCTGAGAAGGCCTGAATCACTGTAGCACTGAATGACCTGTTTTTTAGCGCTGTCGGAGATCGCGTGTAACTCGAAAAATATATAAGTTTTTGCACTTGACTGAGTTTTCTTAAAATATGTATGTATAAATACACTTTAAAAATAATTGATATAGTATTTTTTTTACTTTCAAAAAATGAAATCCGAATATGTGCAGCAAATTAAAATTAGTTTAACCATAATAGAAGAAATTTCTACGAAGCAGTCATTCAATGTATTGAGCTGTTGTAGATACCCTATTTAAAAACCAAGTAACTTAAACATTTTTTTGCATTGGAATATTTCGTGTTTTTATAGTGAATAGTAAGCAAGATGGCTTCATGGACAAAAACTTTGTTTTAAACTAAGTACTATATATAGTTATGGTTACACACCCCTCGTTGAAAAAAAAACTGAATACACCAAAAACTCACAACAATTTATTAAGTGCGAAGTGCCCATTTGCAGTTGTGCCAACTAAGAGCAATTCATACAACAATATACACATTTCAAAAGTAACTTTTGCATTTGCATTTAACGCTTGCAACGTAAGTAAATTCTTAAATGCATATGCTAGTGGGAATGGTCGCACATATTGATGGCAATATACTTTTATTGATATCACTTGAGTAACTCTTCAATCTCCGCTTTGAAATCTGTGGTGTTAATATTGGCAGTGTATTGGTGCCAAATTGCAAATGTGCAATTTTCCATGTGATTGTCCAGTTATGCTTTTTAACTTGCGATTGCTTCATTGTGTTGTTGTTGCAAGTGCATATTCTTGCTTATTTGCATAAAATTATATGTGAATATATGTAACGATTTAATGGCGGCTTTAAATACATGTGTAGCATACGTAAGTATAAGAAACGCTGGCAAGCTGGATTTTGATGTCAGTTGCTGTTACACAATTTTATTTATTGATGAGATTTCTGGTTAATTTTTGATGCCTAGCGAATTTAATTCATTTGACTGCCAAAGGTAATTTTAAAAATATTTTTTAAATAAATTTGGCTAATTGAAACAGTTTTTACTTTTAATACTTAAATTTTAAAACTTGAGCCGTGAGCTTTATTAATTTATTAGCTTTTAGAACTTTTAATTTAATTTTTATAAAAAATCATTTTTAATTTATATAAAATTTTTTATGGCACTTGAATGCTTCAATTATTATTGATTATTATCATTCACACGAAAAAATTTTAGGCTTTAGTTTAAAAATAATACATTTTGTGTATCTCGATTGAGTAAATTTATATTTGGGTGCACACTGAGTGTAAAATTTAAAATAGAATTAAAATTGAAAATCAAATTTAATATTTTTATAGGTTATACCTTTAAAAATAACGTATCATAATACCATAAATCGATATCTCAAATAGTTTTAGTTACAGCCTTCTAAACGGTCACCTCCAATCAACTTAATCAGTTTTTCTCTTTGAAACTGCATTTTTCGAATTTGTTGCAATGATTACTCGAAGGAAAATAATCACCGTCAAAGTAATTTTTGAATGTTCTCTATATAGTTCTTCAAACAATGACCTACCTAATTTTTGAACTGATATAAAATTGAATTTGGCAGGCTAAACACGAACGAAACTTTGGGTAAAATTCAGCTTTTTTTTTGGAAATTTGCATTGTAAATTTTTGAATTTTTTTCCAACGCAGGTTTTTTTACTGATAGGCTTCACCTATGGAGAATGTCGGTATCAGGAAACTGCGGCAGTGAAGTATATATTTATTTAGAGGCTTCGAGGATCGCGTGTAACTCGAAAAATATTTAATATATTTCTTCAAAATTTTTAATTCTCCAAAATCTCTGCACACTTGGTAAGCCTCTTGCATGCGGTTAAGATTTCTGTAGAACTTTTTCTTTTAAAAATTGATGTTTTTTGGTTTAATCGAATTATTTAAAAATTGAGTGGAATGCGAAGATATTAATACAAAACCAAAAACAGTTAAGATGTCATTTTATATATGTATCTTTTATTTTATTTTATAACTTTGTTAAATATTGTACATATATTTTCGTATTCCAATACTTCTTTCGATATTTCAGTTACATGGCAAGTTGAAATTTTTTTAGAACAAATTTGTATAGAAATTAAATTAATATAAGTTTATTGATTTTTATTTTTTCTCTCTTTATTTCAAATAAAATTTTTTTTTGTTATAATATTATTTTAGTTTTATAAAGATTTTTCACAATATTATTTTGCTAAATTATTTGTAATTTTCGATTTTTTGATTAATGTTATATATTTATTATAAATTAAAATTAATTAATTTGTATGGTTTATAATATGTGTATTTTTGTATATAAAAAAATTCTAAACCACTTGAAAATTTTTTTTATATAATTATTTATAAAATATATTTTTTTTAACCGTGCCACATACTTTAGATATCCAATATACTTGTATATATACTTTTTTCATTAAACAACAATTTGCAAATTTTTTTTAACTTTTTCTCAACAAACACACAATTTTTTAATTACATTTAATTTTATTTATTATTTATACTTTCACTTCAAACCGTTAAACGCTTTTTCGGATTTACCGCCAATGAACAACAGAACGCGCCAAACGTGCAACACCGACTGAACCGAAACGAATTAAAGGGCGCGCTTTTTACATGCTGCAACACGGTCATCAGCACACAAACTTGCACACACCCTCACATACGCAACAATAACAACTACAAAACATCTAAATGGAAAACACAAATGCATAGAAAAACAGAAAAACCAACGACAAATGCAGAACAATGCAGACAAATAGACAGACAGCTAGTACGCATGTATGTGTGTGTGTGTGTGTGTATGGACAACCACAAGCCATGTGCAGCAGGCAGGAAGCCGCAATAAGCTAGGAGGAAATAAGCAACACGAACAACAACAACACACAATATGAATGCAAAAAAGTGGCGCAAAAGCGATTTAAACGCAAACGAAGCGAAGGAGCGTATAAATTGTGCGTGACCGTGTATGTGTGGGTGAGCGTCTGCCTAGGAAAGGCAAAACCGCAGGCATTTTGTGTAGGGTGCCTTTTAGAGCTTTAGTTTTTTCAATCACTGCTTATGTGGATGTGTGTTTGTGTCTCAGCTGGAATTCATTCATAAAATTACTGCTGCTGGCATGCAATTGCTGATATCAACAAAAGCAGGCGCTGAATATCGGCGCCGGCGCAGCTGAATAGGAAGTTGAAAAAGCGTAAATAAACAAGAGGAATGAGTAGAGAGCAAAAACCGCCAACAAACACGTGAAGGTGTGACACTTGTTGCTGAAAGTACTGAAAAATTGTTGCATAGCAAATATGTGTGGGGTAGTAAGCTGTTTGTATATGTATAAGTGTGTTTGTGAATGTTAAAAATGCCAAAACGCAGCGGAAAACCACAGTTATGTCGCTTCTGGCGGAGTTTGAGCGCCAACTTGTTAATGCAATTTTTAACCTTTCAACGACAATCATTTGTCAACTGCTTTAGCAACACTGTGCGATAATGTTGAGCATTTTATTGTGTCATCCCTTTAATATTTTATTATTTCGTATTTTTATTTCATTTCATGCTCAATAAAATTGTCAACAGTTGACAGGACAATAAATGTCGCGATTAGCTGACAAATTCATTTCGCAGGAAAAGTAGGGAAACATTTGACAATTTTTCATATGTATTTATGTGAGACTGTATAAATTGGTAAACAACAACAAATGAACGATATACAGAAGTCAATAGCAGTGAGCGAAAGGGGTTTGATATGCATGTCCTGTCACAGAACAATGGACTGAGCCGGCATTTCGGTTGCATTTCTTATAGCAATAAAACGTAAAAAAAATCTTTATCTTGCTATTGGTCGGTAAGTTTGTATGGCAGCTTTATGCAATAGTGGTCCAATCCAAATAACATTTTTGGGGATTTGTAGAATTTTTTTTTACAATAATCCAAACCAAATCTTGTCAAATAAGAAATTTTCCATACAAGGACATAACAACAGTTCGTTCAGAGATTGCAACGTTGGCTTGGTAAATAATCCATGCCAAATTTCGTAAAAATATTTTGTTAAATAAAAAGTTTTCCATAAAAGGACTTGAGTTTCATCGTTCAGTTTGTATGCATACTTTAGTTAGTGGTCCGATATCGGTGATCCCAACAAATAAGCAGCTTTAAAATTTCAGATCGATAGCTCAAAAACTCAAGGACTATCCTTCTTAGTTTAGGTGAGTCGATATTCCGGTAAGTAAAACGTGAAAGACAAACTATAATTCACACTAGTTTGAGCACCACTGGAATTAACAGAAAACAGAGAATTTTTTGGCTTTATATGCGCTAAATTATTATTTATTTCGAATGGCTTATATTTTAATCACATTATATTATGTTCCCCAACCACGGTTGGTTGTGTGAACTTTATACATGGCTAGATTTCACCTGTTGGTTACACATTTAAAGTTTTATGCTCACCTCTCCTTCAATGACCAATTATTGTGTCAACAAATGTCTGCCCGTAAAGAATTCAGCTGTCAATTATGACAGTTTCCGTGTTCAGTGACAGCTGTTTATGACAATTACACAACGAAAGAAATTTGTATACCGTTGACAAAAAGATTTTCATTATAAATAGCTGCCCCAAACTGTTGGCGAACTAATCTTATACTCACTTTTAACGAATTGTCATTTGACTATAGCATACTGTACAATTTGAAATGGATTTGAAACTCTTCAATTTTATTATATACTATTTTCTAAAACTCAATATGAAGACGTTGGTATCTTTCAACTGTTGGGATATGCAAAGTAAGTGAAAATTTTGTTTTGAAGTGTTCTAAAATTAAAAAAAAAATTTTTGTTTCAAAAGTGGCTTGAGCTTTGGGAAAAAAATATTGAAACATATTTGTAAAATCTCGACAGAAATCTTGAATTTTCCAGTTGGAACAGTTGGAGAATTTTATGGGTGAAATAATTTTTAATTAATCACTTTCCTGATAAATGAATACAGTCCATTCTGCTTACTCAAATTAAACTTCATCGGTGACGTAATAATTTTAATCTTTCATGAATTGTTAGAATTAGATTCTTTATTTAATTCAATAATCGAAGATACAGCAAACTGAGTAATGATTACTTTAAATAATCATTAAACTGCTTAATGAATAAATATATTTCGAATACCTTAAAATGTAATTAATTAAGTTAATTCGATTTTTATTTTCCAATATATAACAAATAACTCTGATCACTTAATTAATAATGCTTGTAATATTGGGTGTATGCATTAATTCGTGCGGTTTTCTAAGAGAGGGCTCTACCACTCTTAAACTAGTCAGAGTTATAATCGTTAAATCAATTAACTGATGTTTGAAATAATATTATTTGCGTGAATAAATTAATTAGACCCCGAATAATGAAAATAGAACTAATCCTAAACCATAATCTATCCTCTGTATATAAATCTTTCATTTTTTATTTCAATTAATTAGTTAATCTACTTTAGATTAGACAAATTGCTGGGTTTATTATTTAATTATTAATATTATAATTTAGATTTTCTTCTCCAACTAATTTAATTTATTTATTTTTCTGTTATTTTAAGCACAACTCGCTTTCTACAAATTAGCCGCTGAGAATTCGTTTTATATCGACTATGTTAATCTGAATAATTCGAAGGCTATTCAGGGCATTGAGTATCGTTTAATTGGCAAAAAAAAAACTATGGGCATTTTTATGGATTTAAATTGTGAAAGCGCTGAGGAACTGCTGCATATTGTAAGTATGATTTTGACACAAATAATTTTTGGTCAATGCCTCAGATAACCAGTCATAAAAAAATAAACGCATTGAGAGGGGTTACCGCTTCCCATCTGCGATTTTTAAGCCTCTTAAACAAATACACCATTCTCTGCGCTCTTAAAAATTTTACGGACGTAACTTATTTATTGTTGCCTACTTTTAGGCTGAACATTAAATTTGCTTACGTATCTAATTTTCTTACTTTTAATATAACAATACAAATAATTTTTCCTGCCTACACCTCTAAATATTTAAATTAACCTATTCCTTCAGGCTAGCCAGGAGCGACTGTTCAGTGATCATTTCTTCTGGTTGATCTACGACGACTTCGCTAATGCTACATACTTTCGTAAGCTCTTCAAACGACAAAATCTTGCTGTTGATGCTGAAATTACCTATACATTTTCGAATAGCCTAGAGGATGACTGGAATAGCACAGCCTTTTCCAGCTACACACTCTATGATGTTTACAACAACGGCTATTATTATGGTGGAAAATTGAATGTGACCTTGGATCGTGAGGTATATTGCAATGAGGAAGAGTGTTTCGTCAACAAATATCTCTCGAAATTACATTTGCGTAACAAATATGGTAACAGAAATACATTGCATGATGCCACACTGCGTTTGACTGTGGTGGTAAGTACGATGAGTATAAAGTTAAGCAAAATATTAAGCAGTATCTACTTGCAGGTAACCAAAGTGCCTATAACTAGTCCCCCAGAAGAAATATTCGCATTTTTGCGTTCGGTTAATGGTACCAACTACGATGCTATAGCACGTTTTGGTTTTCAGGCGCTATCGATTTTGGTAGAAGTTTTAGGTTGCAAGTAAGTCACTAATAGACTTAACTTAAAAGCTTGGAAGCAAGTTTTTCTATCTCACTTTATCTCACGCTTACAATTTTGTTAGTTATTATTATTTATCCTGCTCTCTGTATACATTTATCTCTGTATATATGTCCCTGACTTTCACTACCTCGTTCTCTCTCTGTTATTATGTTGCTCGCTAATCTCGCGCTCCCCCTATATATATCTTCTCTTCTATATTTAATTCTATCTATTATTCTTAGTCCCACTTTCCCTCTCTCTCTTTCTCTTATTTCCTTCACAGAGCTAATCACACTTTTGTCAATCGCTGGACGATCAATGAAACACATGGTGGCCTTATTGGCGCCTTGGCCGTACAAAGCGCTGATCTTGTGTCCACACCCTTTATACCAACCCCACCACGTATGGAATTTTTCACTATAATTGCCGAGACCTCATCGTTTCGTTCGATCTGCCTATTTCGTACACCACGTAATTCCGGCATACAGGGTGACGTTTTCTTGAAACCTTTCAACACCACCGTCTGGCTGCTCTTTGCTTTGCTGCTACTTCTAACGTCTATCGTTCTATGGAGCATCTTCAGATTGGAGCGTTATCGCATGTACAAGCGTTATATCGATTATATGCCATCGCTGCTGGCTACTTTTCTAATTTCCTTTGGCTCAGCCTGCAGTCAGGGTAGTGATATGGTACCGGGTTCCATGGGTGGGCGTATGGTATTCTATACATTGTATTTATTAACGTTTCTAATGTACAACTATTATACATCTATTGTGGTTTCATCGCTGCTTGGCTCCCCAGTCAAATCTGATATCAAGACAATGGGTCAGCTAGCGGACAGTTCTTTGGAAGTCGGTCTGGAGCCCTTGCCATTCACGTTGACCTATTTGAATGTGAGTATCTGACAGTTCTAAAGGTTGGTATAAAAAATACTGAAATCTTATTTGAATAGAATTCTCTTCTACCGGAAGTACGTCGCTTCAAACACAAAATAGACTCTGTATCCAATCCGAAAGCTATCTGGATGCCTTTGGAGAAAGGTATATTGCGCGTGCGTGATCAACCGGGTTTCGTTTTTGGTTTCGAAGCCTCTACTGGCTTTCTGCTGGTCAAACGCTACTATAAACCATATGAGATTTGTGACTTGAATGAAATACTCTTTCGTCCCGAGAAAAGTCTATACAGCGCAGTGCATAAAAACTCCAGCTTCAAAGAGATTACCAAGCAGAGGTAAAAAATAATGTTAATATACTTTAATTCTAATTAAATGCTTTTTAAATTTTTTTATAATTTGTAGAGTTATACGCATTTTGGAGACAGGCGTCAATTTGAAGTTACACCGTTACTGGGTGCAGTCCACTTTGGAGTGTTTTGATAGCAACTTCATTGTTGAAGTTGGCATGGAGTACATGGCGCCTCTATTTATGCTCCTGGCATGTACATATATTTTGGTGCTTATCATATTATTGTTTGAAATTTTGCATAAGAAATATTGGGCCGATCGAAAAATAAGATTGGAGAATATTTTGTTTGGCGAGAATTGGCACAATGAGTAGAAGCTGGTTGAAGTTCTTAAATATTTGTTTAACTTAGAAAATGCTTTGCTTGAAAAACTGTATAACTACATACTTGCGTAATTAGTACTTAAAGCAAAATGATAAAGCACATAAAAATCGCACTCCATAGTTTGCTTTTTGTGAAATTTCGAAATACAAGTTCACAGTCGCATATAGGTTTTTGTATTTAGTTGCTCAAAATGGAAGCATTCGGAGGTTGTATTCAGGAAAGCAGACAGTGATTTAATTTTTTGGGTTTCTCGATCTAATAGTTACTGCTGTGTCCATAATTTTAAAAATCCTTTTCATTTTTTGTGCATAATTACAGTCTCAAATACAATTTACGCCTACATGTGTGCTTTGTTTTTTAAACTAAAAGAATAAATATGTTATAACTTTCCACGCAGACTACCCTGTATATGCATATGCATCTTTTTTTCAAATTAACATGTCAAATTATTCTATCAATTCATATAAAAATCTCTTTTCAACACATTTTACCTATGAAATATGAATAAGTTAAGTGGAGTGATAGCAAAATTACATGAAATTACGTATACGCCATGGCCAACGCTGGCATAAATGCCATAATTTCTCTCAGTAGTTTGTCTCCAGTTGTAACCGAAATTTAAACAGAATACAATTTTTGCTAACGAACATTATTCCTACAATTTTGCATTTATTCAGTTTGTATTACAGAAAATATTATTTTCTGCTCTTACATGACTTTTCTTCACTTTCAAAGTAACGGAAAACAAGATATATATAAATTTTATAACATTTCAAAAATTAACAAATAATTTTATTACTAGTTTCAGATGTAATTAAAATCGATAATAATATGAATGTGCTTTAACCGAATTATTTGACTTTTACTAATAATTAGAGTAAAGTAAATAACATACATATAGGTATATTAATAAAAAATAAATTATATTAGTTATATTTCAATATGTTGTTGTTTTTCTGTTTATTTTTAAGCATAAATAGTTTAAGGTAAGTTCTTTAAATTCGTTTTAAAATTGCTTAAATATTTCACATCTGAAACCTTGATTTTTTTATCTTTGAAAGTTCAGTGTGCACGGGTTTGAAGAGTCTAATTGTCAAAATTTTTATTATGTTGATATATATTTTCCTGAAGTACGATAAAATTTTCACCTGTATTCATTGCTTATGTTTGTCTGTAATAGCAGCCGCTAAGGTTAGACTGGCGCTTTTCATTTGTTAAGCTCACACTTCGAGGGCTTAATATTAAATGGGGACTATTATAATAACTCATGGACAATCGCCTTCTACTTGTGATGTAAGTGCCTTGGCGCATTTGAGGTCAAGGCGAATAGTTATTTTTTGTTGAGTTTGTTTGAAAATTGCAAGCGAGCTCGAGTTCTGTAACCTTTAAACTGCTCTGTTAGTAAAAGCTTTTTTATATACTTTATTAGAGTATTATATTATATATACATCTTATAATCTGGAGTTATGGAAATATTTTTAGAAATTTATTTTGACAAAGAAATATCCTCGTGATTGGAATTTAACCATTGATTAAGTTAAAAATCCGTTTTTACAACGCAAAAATTGGACAAAATTCATTATAATGTTATCAATAAAAAAGCCAGCTAAAAATGGAACTTAAAGTTTAGGTGCCGGCTGCCACGCCATACATTGACCTACTGGTACTTATTAACGCCAGATAAAGGTACAATTTAATTTGAGCTGAAGTAATCATTACACAGAACGTCAACGATTTTTGCGAACTTTAATAGCAATTTTATATTTATATTTGATCCTTCGTCTAATCATTTGAACTGCGAAGCTCCTATTGCTGGACGGAAGTATAGGAGGAGTTCCAGCGTATCTCTCAGGCCTTCTTCCCTGCACTTCCTACATGTGTCATCGTTAGTAATGTACTTACGAGTGGCATGTGATGCCAGTAGGTTGTGACCTGTCATTAGACTAAGCATGTGTGTTTCCCTCGACTCTCTTGCACATGATCGTGGCGATGGTGTATGTTCTAAAGGCATTTCATCTCGCTCTGCTCGGTTTGTCAGCTCTTTCGTTAATTTCTTTGCATATCGTTTTTATTTCCTGTACTCGTTCGGTAGCCCTATGGACAGCCTTTTATGCAGTCTCATCAGATATTTCAGGTAAAAGTGGAGGGTTATACTGAAATATTAAAGTTGTATATAGTTCTATCTACTGATTTTGGAAAGAAAAAGGTATTTTTGAAATATAAATATTATGAATATGATTTAGATGACACCAATATTTGTCAAAAAAAGTTCACAAAAACAAGCAAGCTTGAACATATTACGTTTTTATTGCTACAAGTATGTAAGATAAATATGCGTACCTACCATTACGGTTATGAACAGCACTTAAATAATTATGCGTGCGTTATAGTCCATCAATCAAAGTTACAGAAATTAATGTAATATCAATATTGACATATTCATTACCAATCAGTGTTGAACAACTTTAACCCTCTAACTGCTTTTGTGCTTATAAGTGACAGTAACAAAATTGATTGTAGCGGGATGGATTTGCTGGGGAGTATGTTTTATTGCTGAAAGGAATCTTTAACTAATTTATATCTACAAGTGGTGAAGAAGTCATCTTTATTTATTTCGTAAGTTATTAAAGTTAATAAATTAATAAGTGTTCTAAATTACCAAGCAATAGTGATTCTTTTAACATTCTAGTTGAATTTAATAAACGTCGATCCTATAAATATAACATGTATATATAATAAATATCGTTTTTCTTCCATTAACTCTTCTACCGTTAGTATTTGCAAATATTATGATATCTGCGTTAATTTCTGTTTCATTAGAGCAATATCGCAAACTCTATACGTTATTTAAGGTACCCAAATTGCTTAATGTCTGTAAAACAGTTTTTTTTAAAATAGCATCAGCTCCCTTAAAGGGTTAATTCGACAATTTATTAACAAATAATTTTTAAGCCTATAGAGCGCATTTGATAGCATTAATTGAGTGATCATCTATTGTATTTGCCTAAACAATTTGATTAGTGCTGTCCACACTGCGATTTAGTAGAAATGTGACCTTTCTGGTCAATAAAAAACAAATAGCAGTATTATAATTAAATTAAAATAATTTTCGTTATTAACCGAAATGCAGTTGTTCGGTCTTATATAAATACACCCTTTGTCTGTTAGAAATTCAAATAGTAACAACATTGTTCTGAAATCCATAAATTTCATCGTCAAAATGAAGCAACTGCTCTTAAATTTTATTCTACACCATTTTCTAAATACAAATACCAATTCGCTTGTTGTGCTGAACTGTTGGAGTTTGCAAAGTGAGTAAAAATGTATATTATTGCATATCAATTAAATTGCGGTTTCGCAAAGTTCATATTGTTTACCAATTCACTTGCCACTGATTACCTCTTTCATTGCGAATTTTTTTATCTTCTTTACAGCTCAATGTGACTTCTCAAAAATGCTGAACGAGCACTCGTTTTATTCACGTTTTGTAAACATCGAATCTATTGATAGTTCAAGCGACTTTGAGTATCGTTACTTACTACATAATCGGCCTGGCTTGGGTGCATATCTTGATATGAATTGCAATAGTGCGGAGCAAGTATTGAGTATCGTGAGTATGGAATAAAGAAGCGTTATAGTCTATAGAAATAGGTTATAAATAGGTCTTGTAGTCTATATGAATGAGTTGTAGTCTTTATAGGAATGTCTCCGAAAGTATTGTATATTTAGATTTAACTGATTCAGGATACAAAATTGTCACATATTTAAAAAAAAAAATAATAATTAGAAAAAACTGTGCAAAATATCCGATTTTCCAAGTGATCCTTAGTTGTTTCTATCTACACCGACCGCAGAAAGCACGTAATTTATGTTATGTTCCCAAGCTGTACGTTTCTGTATGTTTTGGAGTTTAACTCCATTAGCTGATGGTTGGTTTTTTTCAGTTCTTTTTCAACAATATATAATATATTAGCAAATTATATCAATAATGCGCTTCATTCTACAGCTTAATCGTAGCCGTCTCTACAATGAACACTACAAATGGCTGCTGTACGATCGTACAGCCGATCTAAGCAATTTCAAACGTCTTTTTGATGATGCTAATATTGGTGTGGATGCAGAGCTTACTTACGCTATCTTGGAGCCAACACTACTCGGCGTGGTTACCGACGTGAACAGGACCTTATTTGTAAAATACGATGTATACAATAACGGGCACTATTTAGGTGGTAAACTGAATATGACCATTGATTGTGAAGTTGAATGCAATATGAAAACATGTTATATTAAACGTTATCTCTCTGAACTACATACGCGCTCCAAGTATGGTAATCGAGTTAAGTTGCATGATATAACAATGCGTGTGTCTGTGGTGGTATGTGAATGGAGGGAGTACTGCGAAAGGGTCTTATAATATTTCTAATATCATTACAGGTCACTAAATTACCGTTGAGTTCACCCGTAACGGTGCTTACTGATTTTCTCAAGTCTGAGAATAATTCGGATGTTGATCCGATAACGCGTTTTGGATTTAGAATTTTGTTGATTTATAAAGATTTATTTGGTTGCAAGTAAGTACTACATAATCTTGAAAGCAAAAGTTATAGATCCGTATATTTTCAATTAATTTATTACATTCTCTCTTGAATTATTTCTCTTTCAACGCACTTTTTATATTGTATTTATCTCTCAAATATCTCTCTTGTAACTCTCTCATTAACATTAGAATGCGTTATACTTTCCGCTCTCACTGGGGCATCAATGAAACTTACGGTGGTGGTATAGGTGACTTGGTTTCGGGTAAGGCCGACTTTTTATCAACACCTTTTCTCAGCACGCCTGTGCGTCTTAAACACGTTTTACCACTTGTCGAAACTGGTGGCTTTAGTTCGATCTGCCTCTTTCGTACACCGCGTAGTTCCAGCATAAAAGGTGAAGCATTTCTGCAACCTTTCGATGGTTCAGTTTGGCTCGTATTCATTATACTGTTGATAGTGGTAGCAGTTCTTTTATGGCGCATCTTCGCTTTGGAGTTACGTAACTTTCGTGCTCATTTACCGTATAAACCCTCTTTGCTGGCGACCACACTATTGGCTTTCGGCTCGGCTTGTTATCAGGGTAGTAGTATTGTACCGTTTTCGGCGGGTGGTCGTATGGCCTATTTTTCACTTTACTTTGCCACTTTCATAATATATAACTACTACACGTCGATTTTGCTTTCAACATTGCTTGGAACACCGCCGAAATCAGATATTAAAACATTGGGTCAGTTGGCTGATAGTGCTTTGCCGGTTGGTTTGGAGCCCTTGCCCTACACCTATGTATATTTGAATGTAAGTGGAACATGTCGCAGGTTATTTACAAAAATATTATTAACTTGCTTTTCATTTTTTCTCTAGGGCTCCCAGTTGCCCGATGTGCGTCGCTTTGTGTATCGCAAAATTGAGTCGAGTAAAAATCCGCAAAAAGTCTGGATTCCTGTAGAAGAGGGCGTTTTACGCGTGCGTGATGAACCAGGCTTTGTTTTCGTGCTTGAGACTTCGTATGCTTACCCATTTTTGGAACGAAATTTCCTACCTCATCAGATTTGTGATTTGAATCAGGTTAATTTTCGCCCGGATAAAAGCCTCTTTACGCAGCTGCACAAGAACTCTTCATACAAAGAACTAACGCGTGTGCGGTACATTTTTTTGTATCATATGACATTTTCAGTATTATTTTAAATATTTAAATTATTTTTCAAAGCGGCATACGTATGTTGGAGACGGGCGTTTTCCATAAGCATCGACATTATTGGGTTAGGAATAAATTGAATTGCGTACCGACTAATTATCTATTCGCAGTGGGTATGGAATATGCGGCACCACTCTTTCTAATGTTGGTTTTCTCTTACATCATATGCCTGCTACTGTTGGGAGCGGAGTTACTCATTAAACGCTTGAGTAAGAGTGTCAAATGAGATAAATTTTTAAATTTTCAAGACAAGCAACGAGTATTGTGGAATTTCTTTTAATTTAAGAAATGAGCAAAACCTGTGAAAGTATTTATAATTGACTCACAGTGTTTGTATGAAAATGTATAAAAATCAAACTTGAATAAAAGTAGAAGTTTTAGAACACAATATGTATCTCGATTGTATGCGGAAACAACTCTGCAGTTTGATCAGATGCATTTATTTGAGAACTCCAAGCACTACTACTAAGAGTTTCTTTATTGGGTGAGGTCTTTAATTTTTCGTGAAAAAATTCGGAGAGACCGACTTCATAAAGATCTTTTTGAAATACTTTTTCTTCTAAGCATTTTTCCATAAAAGTTCAAACAAGAGATCAGTAACAAAGTATTGGTCAAGTGCCTTCAATTACTCAGTCAATCTCATCTTCTAATTAAATAGAAGGAGATCCTTGTGCAAATTTAGTAGTGACATTACGAGTTCCTAAAACTATAATAAAAGTAAATTTAAAGGTTTTAATACTCTGAATTGTTTGATGAATGATTAAGTTTGTCACGTAGTTTGTAAAGTGAATAAAGACACATTGGAGACCCTATAAAGTATATACATAAATGATCAGCATGATAATGTCTGTCTGTATATACGCGAAATAGTCCCTCAGTTTAAGAGATATCGATCGGACTTTCCTTTTTTCCCCAAAGAGCTGCACATTGGTCGGAAACACCGATATCGCACCACTATAGCATATAGCTGCCAAAAAAACTGACCTTTTTAACTCAAGTCCTTGTATGAAAAACTTTTTTATTTGACAAGATATCTTCCCGAAATTTAGTATAGATTATTGTCCAAGTCAAGACAAGTTGGATGCAAACCGAACGGGAATGCACCTGTGAAGATTATTATAGCTTCGGTACAGTCAGTAAACGTGTTTTGGTGTTTTTATCAAATTTTTTTTCACTAAAAGTATTTATTCATATAACTATTAAATACAAGTAATAAGGGATTTGACAACATTAAAATAACCACTAATTTAAATCAAGAACATTATTCTTACGAATAACGGTGAAGCTTTTAATGCAGAATGCATGTAAAAATATTCCGCAAAACCACTGAACCAGTTTAGTTTTATGCTGCAAGTATGTTGTTGAAATTACCATTATTTTTGGGCTTTAATCCTCTTTTATTTAATACTGTAATTTACTTCAAAAAGAGGATGTTAACAATTATCTGAAAAATATTAAGAATTTTAGTGTTGAGTGTAGAGTTTATTTAGAATAAAATAATAGAGTTGGCAATATGAGTTATAAATGTATGACCTCATACCTGAAATTCATCTGAAAGTCACGGCTACCAAAACTTCAAACATTAAAAGAATTAGTGCGGAAACTAACACATACACAACGTGCAACTTATAAAGCTTTTGCAGAAATTTTAGGTAGCGCAGTTGGGTAATTAACCGGTGATTTAACCGATAGGTGACTTACAGGGTAGCTTTTGTGATTAATTTTTTGTCAAATAAATTCAGCTCATAAACAATTTCTTAAATATTTAAAAAAAAATTTTAATTTACAAACACCAATTTGAAAGTCGGATATATTTATCTCTTCTACAGGGGTTTTATGTACTTTCACTTTCCCAGCTGTTTGATGCTGTAATGTAGTTTTTGAATTGTAAATACACTTGTATGTACTTACTGAGCAGCGGTAAGCAATACATTTGAACTTGAATTTGCATTGCCAAGCATCTGCAGTTTGCAAGCAGGTAAAGGGATTAAAAAGGTGTTGAAAATGTTATCCTTACGAGCGCAAGCGACAAAAGGTGAATGGATATGAAAGATAAAAGCAAAAAATGTAGATTTGTTATGCCAAGTACTTTTTAGAGAGGGGCACCTTGTGGAAAAATCGCTGCAGATATGCGACAAGCTACCTTAGATGAATTGGGGTTATGTGTGAAGGGAGTATGGACAAAATTTAGTATCTGACAATTTTGTAAAAAAAATTGTGTACATAATTATATTTTTAGTAAATTTATTTGTATTTTCGCAAAATATCACATGTAGTTTTACCGAACTTAACGTAGGAGCCATTGAAACCCATAGTGAGCAGAACTTTTACCATATCAGTATGTTACAAAGTCTTCAATTGGTTATATACAATATCTTGTTTTGTCCAAAGCTTAGAAACAGCTTTACTCACGAAAAACACCTCTCTTAACCGTTTGCCTTTAAAATCGGTTTCAAGGAGATCGTACGATTGCCCTAATCTTTTGCTGTTGTAAGCAATTGCAAATATTTTCGAACTTGAATCCCTGAAAATCTTATCAGCACAAAAAAACGATATACAATGAAGTTTCCGAAAGGGCTGACAGACAGATCAGAGCGAGATAGAATGCCTTAAGGACATACAGGATTACCACGATCATGTGCAAGAGCACGCATACTTTTTATTCATACAGGTCACAATCTAGTGGCCCCACATGCGAGACGTATGGGTATAAGTAACGACGATACATGCAGAAAGTGAAGTAGGCATGTGAGAGACGCTGGTGCCTGTCCTATGCCATCTATCTCCAGCTCTATTTAGAACTCGTCTCAGATATCTAGGAGCTTCGTAGTTCAAGGGACTAGATGAAGTATCTAAATTAAGTATCAATTCGCTATTAAAGCTTGCAAAAAGCGTTGACGTCCTGTATGACAAATATTACAGCTTAAAATAAACTGTATAACAATATAACCTAAGCTAAACTAACTTAAGTAGTTTTCTCAGTATTATTTCATGCCTACTCAGGGGAAACTCTAATAAAATTATATACAAATTTGTTTCAACAAATCGGTCATTTTAAGTTTGTTGAAAAAATCACATAAGTTTTCCACTGTAAATAATAAATTAAATTACTTTTGACCAGTTATGTAATTAAGCATGCCTTTTTGTTCTACTATACTATAAATTACGTTGACTGATAGGCTGTCAAGTACAACTAATTTCCGAGCAGCGAAAGCATTCTATATACAATTGAGCTGGTGGTATATACTATATACCTATATAATACATTTATGACTAAATTTGTTCAAGCCGGGGGATCTTAGTAATCTTATATGTTTACTGTACATTTACTTGAACTTATCGCACGCGATAATTCAAAGATTACGCTGATAGACAACTTATCGAGTTTTGTGCTTACACACAACATATTAAATTGCAAATTTAAGTAGAAGACAATAAAATGTTAGCACAAGAAATTTTATCAGATTTCACGTACATGCATATGTGAAATATAAGGTGTATATGAGTATCTACTAACTTTTTTTTATAACTCGCTTAATCTTTATGGTATGAGATTGCCTGTCTATTTGAGAATTTCATGTTAGCTACAGTAACCGTTTGCTCTTGTGCTGTGTATTTATATATATATCATTATATTGCAAATAACTGCATAGCAGGAAAATCCAGCAAATATATTACTGCTATATCTCAAAGCTGTGGATCAGACTGTGTTCGTGTTATATAAATGTAATGAATTATATTAATTAAAAAAAACAAAATTATTCGGACTACAAAATATCTAAAAAAATATTATATAGAGTATGAGAGTCATTTAATTGCTATGACCGTTCCCCATACCATTTCAATTTTATTATACAAATAACTTGTAATTATACCAGTTGTGTGTTCGATTCGCCACATTGTCGTATTCGTTGTGTTATCAAACTGAATACAGCTCTTTGGGTATTTTGCAATAGCTGTATCTTGCTAAAAGCATTGACTCTTCTCCACTCATTCTATATCGAATAATTTGTAACAGTGTTTTATAGTGTTTATGTATGATGCTATTATTATTACTATAACTCAGACAGTTATTCTTGAAATTTGATTGATTTTCTCTGCAGGGCAAGTATTAAACTTTATTTTACTCGTATCTTTATATATACCAACTGCGTTCATTTTTTTTAAATTTTGTAGTAAATTCTGTTTTAAATAAAGTTAGTTGCGCTTGTTCTGTCGATGGCGTGAGTTGAACAACGAAATATTACAAAAACCTGTGAGTGCTGCTATAAATACTAGTAGGTATATATTTTTACCGTTCGATTTTTGAACTACGCATAGTAATACAAACAGTTACAAGATATATACTTCAAATCATCAATCATATAGTTACAAAGAAAACGAGATTCAAAATATTTGGGGTTTTCTGTTTTAATATCATACTACACTTCCAAATGTGTCGTTTTAGACGACTGGTTTTCAATTGCAAACTTTTTTTTACTTACTTACTACTGTTACTTTATTTATACTCAGTTTGGTTTAAAATTTCGTAATGAATCGACTTATTCTGGCACAACTTTTGCACATCCTGCAAATTTATCAGCAAAACAATAGTTCGTTGCGTCCAATATTCAGTCGATTAATCGCCCAGCAGAGTCGATCAGTAATTCGAACAACCATGGATTGGTTTCGCACTACGTTTACTCTAGTGAATAATGCGGATCCTGAGAGGCGCCATAGCGTACGTGCCGAAGTCACTATTCTACCGGGGAGCAGAGTATCAAAGAATATGTGTGTCCCCATTCACTTTATGGAAGATTTTACGGAAAAATCTTGGTTTGCGGGCTTGCAAAAACCAATTCGAACAAGAATTGTAGCCGAATGACCATCAAGCGCGTCACACGTTTGGTAAATGGGCCCAAAACCAGATGGCCACCGAAACCGATTTTCACAAGAAACATTTTCTTCATACGTTGATAAACAACATGTCGGATTTGGTGTGATGATAATCCACAAGCCATTGTTGAGACGCGTTTACATCCTCAAAAAGTCACTGTTTGGTGTACTCTATGGGCACAGTCATATGGGCACTGCAATCCGTTTATTGAATGAAACTTTTGCTGAGCGCATTATCTCACTTTTTTTCTCAGTAGCACGGCCTCCAAGATCGCACGATATAACAACGCTGGACTATTTTTTATAGGGTTATATGAAGTCGCTTGTCTACGCAAATAAGCCCGAGTTGACTGACGCCTTGAAAAAGAACATTCGGCTCGTTTTTGCTGACATAGAATAAGCCGAATTAATAGCCTGAAAGATTTCAAAAATATTTCAGAAAAAGTGTCCCTTTAACAAAATCCTCAATGAAAGTCCATATATTTTAAATATTGTTAAATATTTTATTGCTTGTGCATATCTACGATCTAATCTGTTTACGTTTAAGTTTTTATAAACACCTATATATCGCGAAATCTTCACT